CTTAATTTATAATCTGTAGTTCGTAGGTACGCGAGGGTATTGAAAATATTACGGCGGCATTTGCGTATAATGAATTATATAATGATACGAATGGTACTGGACGAACGTTCATAGACAAATAAACGGCGCAATAATTGTTTATTGTTTATTGTTTATTGTTTATTGTTAAGTGTTGCCGCGTCTAAATATGAAGAGTTTCGATTATATCATCAAAAAGTTTCGAAAAATCCCCACTTTTTTTTTTTTTGTACTCAGACCTCGCTTCGCTCGGTCTTCGCAGTTCTCGGTCTCCACGGTTTAAGTTGTATATCTACAACCGTGGTTATACCTATAGTCTATATACTTGTCCCACACGGCACACCATCAGACACAATTAAAGATAGAACAGCTGAGTACCTAGATAAGACGTAATTGTTTATTGATACCACATCTGTCTAACTGATACCATAATCAATGTAAGATTATAATTTATATATTATAATTTAATAAAGTTTATAAAGCAATTTAGAGCAGTTAAGCATGAACTTCAAAGATACTTGGCACGCGATGTACGGTAAGCTAAACAACAAGAAACGGTAAAAGAACAATGGTCAATGACGCACAAATGCACAATACACGAATTACGAACTATCAACTAACAAATCAAACATCAAAGAAATTACGAATATCGGAATATTCAATATAGTAAATTTGAAAAGAAGACAAAGCTATTGGAGGTTAATACTTCAATCATAGATAATAAATGTATTTATAGTTTTTTATTATCTATATTACATTATATTACTCTATGGTATATTATATTATTATATGGGTTCAATGAGTATTTTTGTGTATCATTCATATTGCGTAAATAATTATGAACTATCTTCCACATTTTTATATTTTTGTAAATTCAAATTTAATATTTAATTTTACCTGAAATCCCCACATTTTCTTCAAATAATACAAATCCCCAACATTTTCCCCAAATCCAAAAAATAGCACTCAAAATCCCCAAAGTGGGGAAAAATCCCCACGTCTGGCAACGAGCACTCGTCGCCGCCGTCGGCCGGTTGCGAATAGTAGGCGTGACTTAAACGCCGCGCGCTTGCGGATCGTGAAAACACCTAACAGCGCATCCTCTCGGTCGTTGCATGCGTACAGCTTTGGGTGACACGTCCTCTTAATAACTAACGACGTGCCGCAGACAGCTCCGATCAAATGACCCGTAGTCCCGGGTGGTGTGCCCACCGGATCGGTTCACGGTCGTTGCTGGGGCAACCGACCCCAGCAGCGGTGTTTCCAGCGTGTGCAGGTAACACGGGTGCCGGAGCTTGCTCCGACCTTCAGCCAAGCGTTTCAGTATCAGTCAGGCTCGTGAAGTCGATGCGGGCATAGCGGAGATGGATCGGACTTGCAGCTGACGGCTTGTCTGTAGGGTGCCCCCCCCCCTTAATTCGGTAGGCGGAGGCGGCCGCCGAAGTATGTCCAACCGTTGACACGTAGGAACGGTAGCTCGGGGGCCGGGTTAGCCCAGGGGAGTATTCGAGCCAGGAATGCTTCCCGCCCGGCCAATCGGATTTCCAATCCGTTGGAGTCGGATTCGAGCGGGTTGTTGGTCTTTTCGCTGGTGTAGCCGGCACACACCGTAACCGCATCACGCAGATCCGGTCGCTTTAACGGTAGGCGGGTAGCGGCCACCGCCGGTGTGCCGTCCACCTCTGGCGGCCAGTCGCCGGGCTTCGGGTAAGACCGGGCTCAGCGTCTGATGCCTCCGCGTCTCTTGACTAGCGCTCAGCGGTAATAGAAGGTACGCGGTTGTAGCCGCGAGGCAATAAAACCCGGGAGTCTTCGTCACCAATATGATCTTGTGTTTCTTCACTAATCACACAATCTTTATTGATTATTTTACGAACATCATTAGGAACTCTCAAACATTTTTTTAAATGATTTGCCATACGCGTAGCATTTTTTTTATAAGATGTTTGACAAAAAGTACACAAACAAGAATTTGTATCTTCTTTATACTGGTAATAATGCCATATTTTAAGTTTAGGTTTCGTAACTTTAGGCATGTTGCAAAAGCTAAATACAAATTTAACCTTCCGATATATTTAATTTAAATATTTAATAATCCTCTGAATCTTGATAATCAATAAAATACAATATACATTCTATAAGCGATAAGCATTGCATTGTCATTTGCAAATTGACTGTTTGGTTTTACCAGTTCTACCGACTATACCAGTAATAATGTTAATATTGTTATGAGTTTATTTATAGAAGTAAATTACACTATCTTCTATTATCTGTGGTCTGTACGACTGTATGTCTATATTTTCACAGAATAAAGTATTTGATACAGTGGTACCACATTAAAAAAAAGAAAATTACCCGGTAATAATTTGCAAAAGAATATTCTTTTAAGAATATTCTCTTATCGCATCACTGTGCTGAGGTGGCAATAATATTTTACTATATAACACCGCCGTACGCGCAGGCGCAGGATCCCTATGTCGCTGAGTGATTCGGCGAGGATGTAGGTACGACGGTTGTACGTGTGAAACGTCGATCGTAGTACGGGCTAGGCAATGTGAATTCGCTAAGTGATTTATTTATGTTTGTTTTAATATAATAAAAGTGTTTCTGACCTGAAAACCCGAGTTTATAATAATTTCAGTCATTCTTAAGTTCTTACATTTTATAGGAGCAGCGCCGGGATATACGTACTATGTGCATAGATATTATAAGAATGGATAGGACACGCCTATACTGGCTTCGTAAGAAGTTGCGGTCTTTTTTGGGGAAGAGAGAAAGTTCAATATCTACGAGAGAGATAGACTATAAGAGTGCTTTTTGAGGTTAGGTTGCTGAAAGAATAATTTTATTTAAATAATTCAATCTAATGAAAGTAGGTACGTGTTCTCACTAAACATTCGACTACTTTTACTGGTAGATTCAAATTTTCTTTTTGTAGTTCATTCATCAATAAATTGTTGACCTTTGTCATAACTTTTGGCTCTTTATTTATGCAATCTTTGCCATGAAAATTATTGAAGAGATGTTCTAAGATCATTGAACATTTTAACAAGATTGGCGATGGAGTTGTTAAATTTTCTCTTGAAATATGTTGTATCCATGAAGAGCCACAAACTTCTTTATTGCATAGCCATGGATATTCGGTAGCATAACGACTTGCAACATACCATGTTACATATTCAATGCAGTCTTTTTCTAATTCAGTTAACTCATTAACTGGATTCACCTAAAACAATTAAGTTTAACATTACTGGTTGTTTGGTCAATTGTACATTTGGACACATAGGTAAGTGTTATAAACTGTATTAACTAAATTTATTTACATATGATTCAAACTGATGTAGTAAATTTATATTTTCCTCAGGTATATCAAAAGTTTCAGTTGATCCAAAATGTGACTCTATTGTAGCAATTTCTTCATTGAAATACATTTGTCTGCATTCATCCATGTTATTATTACTATTAATTTCAGCCTCATTAATAGTAACTGCTGACAAACAATCACCTAAACATTCCTCATCAGAGCATTAGGTATTTCGATTTTCTGTGATTATGGCGTCAGAATATTTTCCCAAGATATACCATCGTAAACTAATACATTTTTTTATTTTTAGGTTTTATAGTCGACTACTCAATGATAATTAAAATCATACTAACCAATACTTAAACTCTAAAGGGGTTATGCGATATGCTGATGCCATCATACTTTTTAAAGCACTAAATAAATTTTCAAGAAGATCCTGATTTACTCTTCTTGTAAGTATATATTTAATTTCAGGATACCTTTCTTTCAAATCTTCAAACATAATCTTTAACGATGTGTTTGTTATTAATATCCCTATATTTTTTTAAAAATTTTCTATTTTACTGATCTTTTTTATATTGTATTTAATTGATCTTTGTATATATGGAGAAATGTATTTAGTAATTGCCTTTTTGAAATGGCTTTAAACTTGTGGTGGGTTTACCTTTGGAATGAACTCTCAAACTTTCTATAAATGTATTCATTTCAGATAATATTTTATTTTGATTATCGATGTAAAGTCCATAAGATAATGTAAATTTATCTTTTGGTAGTTGTGTGTTTAACAAATCAAACCAATCGTTAAACAGTTTAATTACTGCTGATGCCTATGTATTAGTTAGATATATGTTATTAATTATTACTTATAGTAACAGTATAATTATTATTTTAAATAAATATTTCTAAAAAGATAGAAAGAATATTTGTCATATTAGGTATATTCTTTTTTAATTTAAAAATTGTCTATTTTAAATGTCTAGAAAATATTAGAAATGTGGAATAATATAAGTAATATTAGTAGTTAAATAGTATATATTTACTTATTTCCAATTAGTGAACTGCAATAAATTGTTTTGCCCTAAATAGGATATTGCTTTGACCATTGAATTTTACAAGACTTGTGTTGCCAGTTTTACATTTTGTCGCTGTGATCCAATTGCATTTAGATATCGATCAGTGACTTTGTGTACACAACTTAAATCCCCTTTGTTCAAACTAACTACCTCTTGTATTACTTGTTTTCCAATGTACTTATTATTTGGCAAAACAAATCCACTATCAATGAAATGATTTCTCACTAATTTCATTAAGTGTGGTACATCAGCAAACATATAAATTGGTTTTCCAGATATAGGATGACTAAATGATGTCTTTGTTGGTGTTATTCCGAGACTTTTCCAAAGCCTAATATTTGTAGGCCCCATATCACTAACAACAGCTGCTACCTCAAAACCACAGGCATGAAGCTGACTTATAACGTCGAACAATAATAATTGAGTCATGGGTGAATCATAGTCATAGTATAATGGTTGCTTCCATTTGGAAAATAGTCCTATGAAAGTAACAAATAACTATTATACAGTCATAATTGATATGTTAATACTCAAATTTCAAACCACACACCTCTGGCAATCATTACTTGTACACACTTGAATGGACCCAAAACTTGTTCCGTTTTTTAATTGTAGCACAATTTTTGTGAAACATAAGTCTCATTAAATGATATTACTGTCACTTTGTCCATTTCTGATAAAGATTTTCCCATATTTTTCAAAAGCATAAGAACATCTTTCAAAATACCTTTGTCCATATTAAATTGCCCTGCCCACTGTCTCAATGTTGATAAACCTAAAATTATAACTATTTGCACAGATTGGTTTAAAAAATTGTATTTTATAAATTCTAAGGAAAGTTATTTTACACAAATCTATTATGATTTAAAAAATAAATTGGTATACTAAATAACAAATTTGTATTTATCTATATATCACTAACATCTAACACAATTATTTAAACAAGAAACTCCTGCAATACCTGGTAACGGAAACTCCAATTTATCTCTTAGATATCTATAGCACTTAGGTGATATACTTCGCAAAGTCATAGCCGATGCAATGTCTTCTGGTTCCCATTTGGCCACTTTTTTTTTTATTTAAGATCATTTCTGCTTGCTGTGGTGAAAACATGTTTGATAAATGGTTTTTAAACTTATTTTAGGGAGCTAATTTTTTTAGAAAAATTAAATTCTGGGCGGAGCGATGATTGTATTGATTTTACAATGATGTATAAGTTTTTTTTTCTAAATTTTTAGAAGTGTAGGTAGTCATTTTTTTAGCAAATTATTTAATATTTTATTATGTGTATACTGTATTCATAAAAACAAATTGTTTTACATTTTATTTTATATTATTTGACTATTTGACTAATGTGTGTGCAGTATATTTTGTGATATTATAACTACTAACGTAATGTATATATTATATAATATATTTATATTTATATTTTTATTTTTATAATGTGTAATTTACTAATCTACGTAAAAACGGATACATTTGGATATTTTGTCCGTGGATATTTTGACCGTTGGATATTTTGTCCGTGGATATTTTGGTTTGGATATTTTGTCCGTGGATATTTTGTCCTTGGATATTTTGACCGATTACCACATGAATAACCTGTTAAAGAATATAGGTTTTTGTATAAGAAAAACATTTAAAATAAAGAAGAGATATCCCTTGAGGTGACTATGTGGATGTGATTGTGTTGACCTTTATATCTAAACATAAAATACTTGTTAAGACAGAAACAATTATGAATAAATTACTAATTAGATGCAAATAACTAAGCAAAAATACATTTGAGTTAATACATGCATGCATGTACTGTTTATAAATAACACCCAAAACATTGAACAAACTAAATACATAGAACAATTGCTACATTTTTCTATGTATTATTTTACTTGGAATTATCGTCATCAACAGGCTGCAACAGAATGCTGTCATCTGGCAAAAATGTTATTCCATCATCACAATCAATGTCAAATAGATTTTTTTTGCACTTTACTTCCAAAGGAGTTGAGTTATTTGATTTGCTGGAATTGAAAATGATTGACATATAATCTACATTTTACATAATAATATTAATTAATACACACCATAAATTATCATCTAATGATGACGTTACTTTAAACGTTCCACTTGGAGTACTAATTAATGAATCTGGACAATTAATTGGTGAAGAATATTCATGCCCATTTATACTAGATATAAATTTAAACTTAAAATATCTACCAATGCTTTGATAGTATACTAAATACCGTAATGTAAAAGCATCATGTTTTAATCTCCTTGCACATTTAGGTGAGGCAATACCATTAAACACAAGTGGCTTTTCCACCATGTGTTGTGGACCAAAATGTAATAAACACACAACAGCTTCAGCATATTTTAAAATAAAAGTTTTTTTTACAGATAAGAAGTTCTTTTGATTTTACAATATCAGGTGTTAATCTTATAAATCGTATTTTATTTAGTACCAAGTAAACTGTAGGTCGCTTATAAGGAAAAATAGGCCTGTAAGTGTTCAATTTTGCACGCTCTCATGCATGCAATTATATTATATTTGCATAATAATCACTACATTGTAACATTGCACTCTTACCTGATCCCCTACTATACTTACCTTTTTCAAAATTAACATTTTTTATAAATGAACCCCGTGTTATTTGATTTAACCATTTATTCCTCAGATTTACATCTTTAGGAAACCTATGTAAGTGTGCATTTTTGGGTTTAACTAAATTTTTTTGCTTGCTGCCGCTCATAGGTACAGCCTTCAAATACACAAACTGGCATTATAAATTATAATTTAGTAAATATTTAATAGCAGAAGTACTTATTAAAATTTATTAAATCAAAAATTGAATATTTTTAATGTGATAATTTAATCATAATTAAATTCCAAAACACAAAATACCGCCAAAAAAGTTTGATATTATGTTAATATTTAAACCAATGTAAATTGGCGAAAGACCATCGCCATATTTGAGCAACAGAAAACATAAATACGTCCGCTGATATCATACCTAGTTTATTATATCATGTAATTAGGTACAAAAAGAACTAAATTTGATAAACCAATAAATTAGTTAATTTTAATCTTAATATTAAATAAACCTTATATATAATGTACAATTTATATGAATATTAAATATATACATAAAATGTATGTTGAAATAAATACAATTTAAAAAAAATAGTCTACTAAAATAATTTTTCGATTATTATGATTAACAGCAAATGTATCTACAACTTCTTCCAAGTCCAGAGATTTTGCCATCTTCTTTTCGATGCTCATCATAGATAAATTTGACAGGCATTCATCCGTCATTTTATTTCGCATATATGTTTTAAGTCTCCTTAGGCAAGAAAAAGTCCTTTCGCACCCTGCACTTGATACTGGAATTGTAATTGAGATTATAACCATCTAGTATGTTTCATTAAAAACGATTTTATACTTTTCCAATAAATCAACAAAATTCATCAAATTAGTGATTTTTATTTTTATTTTATTTTTGGTACATGTTTATTGTGTTTGGTATTATTTTAAGTTCTGATTTAAGTAGTTCTGTATCCAATTTATAATGTTGGGCTAAAGGTTTTAGGCGGTTTTAGGTCTTCATAGCTCAGAAATTTGGCATTTTTCGGATGTAGATAATCAATAGCATACAAAATACTGGAATTAATGGAAAACCGATTTTCCAACTCGTTAATAATATTGTCTAAAATTGGCAACACTAATTTTGTACGAAAATTATTTTTTGATTGAGCTTATTCATTTTCTAATGATATATTTTCATCAATAAAAAATGATTTCAACTTCTGAGGAACACGCATTTTTCTTATATTTTGTATTTGTTCACTGTTTAATGGTATATTATTATCTCTACAAATATACAAAGCTTCTTCGTACATTTTTTCAAAACTTATATAATTAATTGATCCATCACATTCGTTATGGCAATCATTTGAATCGTTTCTCATATTTTTAAGGGTCATAATTAACTATTTTATTAATACCATACTTTCTGCTATTTCGGGAATAACGCCTTGTAAAAAATCACTAACTCTTTTGAACATAGTTAGAATATAAGAAAAAACTACCAAATTTAATACAAATATAAAATCTATTTGATATAAAAGACCTTTAGCGGTAACTGAACGATCACCTTTATCGTTAATTAATTTATGGAGTTAAATTAATAATGGACTTAGAACTTTTTTAAGAGCCAAAGTTGCAAAAACTTGTGCTGTCCATCTGGTTAGACAGATTTTTTTCAATTCTACAACTGAATGTAAGTTCATTTTTTTTTTTAATGTCAACAAACAGCGTATGAACTGCCGAACCTGATACAAAAACATATATCTCTTCAACCAAATCAAAAAATAATTTTAAGTCACTAATAATTTTACATATGTCGGCAATAACTAAATTTAGTTTATGGTTAGGTTAGGTTAGGTTAGGTTCAGTCGCGCAGAGTCGTCCGCCAGTAGCGCAGAGTCGTCCGCCAGTCGCGCAGAGTCGTCCGCCAAAGAAGGACGTGTCCCGCCGAGTTCGCTCTAGGCATGTTCTGTAGAAAAAAAATATCGATAATATCAATATCGATATATCATAAGTCAATTTATTGATATCGATATTTTTAAACATAAATATCGATATTTTGATAAAAGTTGTTAAGCAGATTCTAGATTACATATTTACATATTTAGTTCACTGTTTAAACTTTAAATATTCCAATATTTTTCATCCACTGATGATAAAAACGTCAATTTTTCAAACCTCTTAGATAGCAATCGAGAACGACAGTCAGTTAATATATTACCAGCCGAAGAAAATAACCTTTCTGATGGTACAGATGAAGCCAGAACACATGCATATTTCAGTCCCAAATTTGAAAGACATTTGTAATGACTATTTTCCCAAAATGTAACTGGTGATATTGTACGATCTTCAATGTTAGATTGTAGATATAATTTAATGGAAGGCAAGTATGAGTCATTTATATTAGTAAGACTTTGCTGCGAAACATGCAAATCATGGTCATCCCATAAGCTGTCTTCAAGAACTTGTGGTTGTGGCCTGGTGTCAGAAGTTTGTTCAATTTTAGTATTATTTGAATTTTCATGAAGGGTATTGGTACGTTTCATCTCTTCATGTATAAATTGAACTGCATTAGCTGCATTTAATGGTCCTCGAAAATGAATGCGTTTAAATCGATGATCTAATCCCGGCTCACGATGAACAGCCCCACTTCCGAACTGATGGACGTGACCGCGCAGTACCTCGCCCAGACTTGTCAAGGGACTTCTGCGGCCGGTGCCTCCGCTGCTGCCACCGCAGGACCGCAACCAGCTCCGAAGAGGCAGAAGACAAGGGAGGAAGAGGCACTTTCTACATTGGAAAAATATACAGGTGAAATCGAGTATGTGCTCGAACAGGTCATCGAATGCCTGGATGGCAATTTGAACGACGCAAAAACCTGGAGCATGAGTAAGGACGGACGCTACAACCTTAATGTCCGAACACTCGAAAAAAGAGACAATACAGCTAAACAAATACTACAGAGGATCATGAACCAGAAAGGCAAGCTGAAGCGATTCCCCTCGGCCGCCGGGAGGATCCTCGCGACCCAAACACCGGCCTCCGCCACCTCGTCCAGCACCACCGACGCGTCCACGGACATGGAACTCGTACCTAACTGGTGGGAAGGCGACTGGGTCGCCGAAGCGAGAGCCGCTGCCCGCGGCCAGAATCCACCGAGCGCTAGGACGAGCCGCCCGCCACCGCGCACCAACGCTGACACGGAGGCCGATTCGGCGATGGAAACAGAAAACGAGAACAATTGGTCAGCGGTCGCGAGGAGAAAAACCAAGAAGAAAGCGACGACGGAACCCCAGCAGACCCAGCCCGCTTCCGCAGTCCGTCCACAGGCGAAAACTTTTTCGAAGAAACCTCCAGCTGTTTTGATCAGACCGGCAGCCGGGAAATCCTACCCGGACACAATAAGGTCAGTGAGATCCAGCGGGCTCTCCATGGGCGACCTGGGCTCGAGCCTCCTGATGGAGCTGCCGAAAGGCGCTAAATCCGGGGCAGCCGCCAAGAAGATCGCCTCCGCATTCTCCGCGAAAATCGGTGACGAAGTCGGCAGAATCAGTCAACTCGGCGTGCTGGTCGACGTGGAGGTCCTCGACCTCGACGCCTGCTCCACCGCCGCTGAAGTCCTCGAAGCCCTCCGCGCCGCCGTCACCGGCCAAGACGACGCAGCAGTAAAAGCAGACCGGGAATCCATCGGCAACGTTAGGATCTGGTCCACGCGCTCCAACCAGCAGATCGCCTCGGCCAGCATGCCAAAGCACGTGGCCGTATCAATCACGAGGATTCCGGTGGGATTCACCATGTGCAGAGTCAGGCCGAGGACGCTCCCCCCAGAAGGATGTTATAGATGTCAGACCTTCGGACACTCGTCTAGGAATTGTACCTCCAACATCGACCGGACCGGCGCTTGTTGGAAATGCGGAAAGACCGACCACGCCATGAAGGACTGCACCTAGGCCGACGACAACTGCCTGGCGTGCCAGCTGGCCGGCCTTCCGAAGACGTCGCACAAGCCGGGTACGGACGCCTGCGCCGCACGGACAGGGGCCGCCAAGTCGACCACCACACCACCCAACGCCTAATCTTCAGCAGGTGAACCCCGACGAGAACCGGTGCGCCTCAGCTCCGGCAAAGGCTTCCACCAGCTCCCATCCGTTTCGTCCAACCGAGTCAGTGAGCAGTCTCAGTCTCAGCGACCGATCCAGCAACAGTAAAAAGCAGCATTTAATTAATTAACTTATAATTAACTTTTCGTTTGTAGCCGAAAGCAGATAATCGTTGTGTACATTTGTTAAAATTGTCCTATGTGATAGCCGGCGAGTGGGAGATTGGCCCACCGCCGCTAATATGTTATATATTATGTTTTGTTATTGTTATTTTTCAATAAACGATTGGGGCCGGAGGTGAAGTAATGCTAACGCGGTTCCACCTCCGGCCTTCGATTCAACCGGAAAAAAAAAAAAAAAAAGGTTAGGTTAGGTTAGGTTAGGTTATGCACATATATTGCTTGCGGAACTTCGTCACGAAATAATTTTTGAACACCATTTAATCTACCGCTCATTACTGCTGCTCCGTCGTAAGTTTGTGCCATACATTTTTGTAGACCTACTGAACATTTTTGTAGTATTTTTTTTATATAATTTAATAAGGAAGACGCATTTAGTTGTTTAGCAGGTTTAAAACCCCTGAACCTTTTATGTATTGAACCTTGAAAATAATAACGTGCTACTACCGATAACTGTTCTGTCTTGCTTATATCTTTCTTTTCGTCATTTATAAGAGCAAAATAATTACAACTTCGTAGTTCAAAGCTAATTTTTTCCAAAATTATTTGATTGAAAATACTGATCATTTCATTTTGGATTTGAGGACTGGTGTGTTTAGTATATTGGGGAACATCTTGGCCTACAACTCCACACTGTTCATCTATTGAATGAAGAAGTTCCAAAAAATTACCAAGGTTTAAACCTTTTACTCTTTCGTCATCACCACGTTGGGCTATACACTGTGTTCCAGTATATAATAAAACACTAGCAATGCGTTTAATGTATTTTCTATTTTCTCTTATAAGTTTCAAATGACCCTCATTAATTTGAACAGAAACAGATGGAATACTTTTGGTTTTCATATTTTTATAAGACACCCACATTACATAACAATTTTGATGGTCTTGACTTTCATCATGTTTTTTTAAACCACTATCACTGAAAGTCGCCTTTTTCCAATTTTTAAATTCTAAACTGATAAATGTAGTTTGATTGTCAAAGTGCTTTGAAAACATTCTACACAGAAAACAATAGACAGCGTCTTCTAAACACTAGCAACACTAATTTTGGTATTCGGCTCCGGTTCTTTAATTAAATCGCCGATATTTGATTCTGAATCGCTATTGCTATAACTATCCGTACTACTAGTAGTGTCATAATTATTACCTGGGTTGTTGGTTATATCATCTTGCCCTTGAATAATAATGTCTGAAGAATCCACACTTTTGTTCTCGTTATTAAGTTTCTTAGCAGAAAAATAATTTTGCACTGTTATTTGTCTTTTCATGGCAAAAACTTTAAAATTACGTACAATTGAAAATAAATAGCTATGAGTGGATATAAATGTATTATATTAATAATTATAATTTATAAATACTAATATTAGTATATTACGATTCGCGACAACTACGACCCCAAGCCTTCAAACGTCAACTGAATAAGTATAGCCAAAATACCGTATAGCTAGGTAAATAAGAAAATAGTACAGAAATAGAGACACAATATTATTGTCACTTTTCAATATTATATATTTAAATGAAAAGTGAATAATAATATAATGCGGGCCACACACTCATTCGCTGTTGTAATAAAATAAATTGTGCTATAATACTCTATATCAAGTATGCCGCTATGGGAAATGCCGATTTACTGGAATAGGAATACCTGCTAGTTCTTGCGACTTTATAATAAGACGAGTATGTATGAACGATTTCTATTCTGAGTTCCGGTATCTGGTAATCTGATCATAGTGTTCGGAAAGACAATTATGTAAAAATACGAGTAATAAATATGATAATAGAAATTTTAAAATATGTTTAATTTTTTTACCCAACAATTTGGGCCTTGGGTATTCCAACGTAATGGGAATATTTCAATGTAATGAGGTGGCCAACAGGGTGGCCTGTAAATATTTTGGGTGGCCCAGGCCACCCCTTAGCTACGTGCCTGTTCACTGGCCTCACCTATGTCAATAATTTACAATTTAAAATATTCCCACCTATATTACATATATATTAAATAATAATATTTTGACGACTGTCTACAATATACGACCGTATTATGATAATATCCAATTAAGACTTAACGCAGTGTCGAAAATGCACCCTACTCCGCCCAACCGGAAGATTTGTGCTCCAGTGTCCCACACCATCTAACCTTCTGTCTAGGTTAGGTTATGTTATAGTCCTGTATTTAGCCCAAGTGGCAAGTGCTGAAGTGCCCAACCAATATTATTTTAGTTCCATAATCCTCTGTAATATCTTAGTCCATGATTATATTTAAAACGCATGACAATAATATGTCAATATATCGACAAATCAAATTAAATAATTAAATAAATAAAATACAATTATAATGTCATATTATAAGCAATCCCTCTTAAAAACTCCATAACTGGAACGTTTCCCTGATTTTGAATTACGTTTTGGATTCTGTCCTCTCATTCAATTTTCTTTTTTTGAATATGGACGAGGTACTCCACGAAGTATTGACTCAATCATTGTTTCTATATTCTTTTGTTCTTTTTGTAATTTTTTTTATTAAGTGGTATACTCCTACGTGTGATTCACCAACAAGACACTCCCAACGTCGATGCCAGGCTTCAATATTATTTTGTGTTCTTGGAATATTCTGATTAAAAACAAACCACATTTCTGGTGAAAATAATGGTAATCCTTGAATAAGGTTGCCATTCCTTAGTATTTTTTGAACTCGACCAAGATTATAGTTATCCTCAAACCACATTATAAGATGTCCCTTGGTAGATTCTATTTCTAGTTGTTCTGTAATTTTAGCAAAATATGGTGATGGAATTTCCAAATCGAAATGATTTCATATCTCTCTCGGGAATCACTAGGTATTTATTTTATCGTTATCTGTGTATACAAAGCTATTACAGAGCATTCAGTATCTAAAAATCTTAAAAAATTACAAAATAATAGGAATTTATTTCAAACTAGGTATATTAAACAATAGTTTTATTTAAAAAAAACAGTTAAAACTAGCTCATAAAAACAAATATTGTAGATATAAGGAAAATTAGCTACAATCAATAGATGTTTCTTGTGGGCTAAACTCAGATGTACTTAATGTTGTACAAATAAAGTTTATGGATGTTCCACCAAGTGAAAAGCTGATATAAATTATAATAGATGAGATGTCACTAAAAAAATTAATTTCTTATAACTCTCAAAATAATCAATTTAGTACTTATAAAAATGTTTATATGGATCATGAGTTTGTCGATATGCAAACCAATCGCATCTGTGAACCATACACACCATACACACCGTATTAATTAATATTTTTTAGTATATTATAATATTTCTGATACTGAAGTTGAGGATTATAATGAGCCATCTATTTCTATGAACATGCCTATCGATATGAATCGTTCTGATGATAATAACTTAAACCGTTTATAATAATTTATCAGTATCGGTACCTATTATTAATTTAATTCTGGACATATTAAATTATTTTAATATGCATATCATGCTGTTACTTATTAAATGTGTTAAGAATAAATCACTAGTTAGGTTTGACTGGTTTGTGTAGTATTAATAATACCTAATTCAACTATAACTAATATTTTATTTTATTTTTTTATTTCAGTTTCTTGCAACGTCATTGACATGTCAATTGAACAGAGTTTAGAGCCCATAAACTCAACAATTGACATCAAAATTACTCAAACTCATGACATAACTTTGAAAACACCTAATCTTCTTCAAGAATCACTCAACACAAATGAGTTTTTAAATGAAGCAAAAGGTACATTGACAGAAATAAGCATCTCCAGAGTTTAACATTTAACTCCTCGAAAAAAAATGGTTGCATAATATTGCTAAAAGATACAAACGACGTACTAAATAAACGTTGTCTAACTGCAAAACGAAAGCTGAACGTCACATTGCAAGCCTACGGGAAATCAATGAGTAGAATAAATCAATCCACTCAAAACCTTGTATAATCCCAAATTTGGATGCAACCTCAAAAACCTCGTGGTCACCGATTTACAATTGAAGATAAAGTATTTGCTTTATCATTACATTTTTTATTGACAAGCAAAGTGGTAAATCATATAGAGAACCAGAAAAATAGCTTGCATTACCTTCTCGAAAGTGTATTCTTATTATACTAAACAAAATTCCATTTGAATTAAAAAATTGAAAAAGCTTGATCGATACTGTTCCATTGTTTTTGATGAGATTGCTTTGTCTGTATAATTACAATACACTAATAGACATGCCAAGGTGATTGGATTCAAGAATTTGGGTGGACCACATCGTCGGATTTTGAAGACAAGGGTCTAGTTTTTATGATAAGAGATTCTCGCAAAAAGGTCAAACAACCAATTGCTTTTTATTTAACAAATGGTACCATGGATAGTACCAATTTGTCAATTATAATTAAAAATATTATAAAGGCTGTTCAATCAACTGGCCCTTACTGTTGTGTCAACAATTTGTGACCAAGCTCCAACTAATGTTGCTGCAATTGTACAATCGGTTATATAAAGAAACCAATTAAAAACATAAAGGTAAAGAAGGTAAAAAAAACAGAGCATATGGTTTTGAAATTGAAAATCAAGGAATCATACTTCTATATGATGTGCCTCATTTATTAAAAGGTCTAAGAAACAACCTTGTATCAAAAGATCTCCATTACGTCTATGAAAATAAAAAAGAACGGCATCCTGGAATGACATTGTACAATTTTATGAGCTAGACAAACATCAAAGTACTGGAGGTGATCGTTTAGCACTCAAACTTACTGACAACCATATATATGATATATCCTGATAAAATGAAGAAGATGAAAGTTTCACGTACTGCTCATGTATTTAGTCAACGAGTTGGTGCTATTCTGAAAAAGATGGACATCTATATCGAGTTCAAATCACCAGAAGATACCGGGCATCTATGTTTGTTCATTGATAATCTGTTTGATAGCGCTAATGGAAACACTATCAAACCATCTGTTGGAAATTGTTGGACATGAACAATTTTTAGAAAATAACCAAAAATTGCAATCATTGTATGACAACTATGAAATCAGATGCAGTTTTGAAAGAACATATGGTTATTGCCCGTATGTATGAAGACTGTAACTTACAATATCCCAATGAAGAAGCTATGAATATTTTTAGTTACATTATATAAATGTTTAATTTAAATAAATTTGTGTTCAAGAGTAACCTTAAAAAATCTCTTAATGAATCACTTGTTCAATATTTACCACTTAACTATTTAACTTGTTCTTATCATGTTTTAACTAAAATATTTATAAAGACAACAACTAATTTGCTAATTTATTCGTATATAAATCATATCAACCGAATACCAATTATAGGTGAAAAATGTAATACAACTGATCCAATAATAAAAAAAACGATCCTGTATATCATGACAAATACCTATGCCAAAAATAAAAATAAAAATGTTATTAAGACAAAATGTTAATTTTGTTTAATTAATTATATAATGTAAATAATTGTAAAATGTATGTTATTTGTAGTTCATGTTCCTATATATAATTGTTACAAAAAAACAAAATTAATAAATCAATTATGTTTAACAATTATTTTGTGTTTTATAATTTAAAGTGTAACCTATTCTAAAAATATTAAAATATATATCAAATACAATTATATTACATTATAATATTTTTATAATAAATAAATAATAATCGATAACATATGTAACGATAACATACGGATCGATTGTGTAAATTATAGATATTTTAAAAAATCGAAAAAATTGATTGTTTGAACTCGAGACAACCACGGGGAGCGGTAGTATAGAACCGTGTATCAAAATGTTGTGTGGAATTTGCCTTTCTATTTAATCTTTTTTCTATGGTTGAAACATTCATATTGATAACGCATGCAAGAAGGTGGTGCTTACGCCTTGCAGCTCTCGGAACAGTTCCATTTCTCTCACTCTTATGATAAAAGTATAAGACTCAAGCCATCAAACGCAGACACATTATTTTATTGATTATTATATTTATGTCGTCATTCATTTATAAGTTTTGCATTTGTGTTATTGTGTGCGTTTGTTATTTATTGACAACAGTATAAAATATATACTGTTGAAACTTATTAGTACCTACAGATTATTTTTATTTTAACCTTAATATACAAAAATAGAGTTTATTAGTCATAACATTACGTCTCATTTACTACGTTTATATGATGGCGTTAAAACGGTTTAAGACTAAACCGTTTTGAAATTAAAACGCATTAATGTCATGTAAACACTTTAAAACGGTTTGAAAACTGTAAACCGTTTTAAAAGTTAAAACGCTCGCGCTATGTAGATGTAGTTTAAGAATTTAAAACCGTTTTATATGCTTAAATCGGTTTATCAAATGTACATATAAACGCGGGATATGTTTTGCATTAATTGTGTTATCACTTGTGTTATCAGATTTTGTTTAAAATATTTTATACGGTACGGGAAACGGAAGTTAACAACTTAAAAATGTCTTAGTAGTTAATTTAGTTAACTAAAGTAAAAAAATTCAATACCTACCGTGTAATTAATTCATTTTTTAGTAAGTACGAAGTACCTATTAACTATTAAGTTGATTAATAACAGTGCATATAAAATGGCATCTCCGACACCGACAAAACGAAAGAGAATTTCTTGGTCAGATAAAGAAGTGAAAGATTTATTATCAATCTTCAAAGAAAGAAATATAATGTCTGCTTTAGATGGAAAAAGATACAGAAATGGAGAAGTAATAAATATTTGTTATCTTTATGTCTCAACTTCAGTATGTTTGTAAATATATTTTTTTCATGTAGATTTTGGGAGCTGTTCAAATAGAAATGAAGGCTTTAGGATACAACAAAACTGTTGAACAAATTAGAGCAAAATAGAAGGCTTTAAAACATTTATACAAAGATAAGGAATATTGCAATAGAAAGAGTGGTAATGATCGCAAGGATGGAGGTGAATGGGATGAAGAATTGGATGAACTTTTGAAGACACGTCCATCTGTTAAACCATTGGAGTATGGATTTGATTCCATTGAATCGGGTATATATATAATTTTTATAATTTATTTAATATAATTATATAAAATAATAATAGTGTGAAATAATTACCAATACAATTACTTTACTATTATTTTTAATGATTTATTATATTAGATAATGAAGTCCAAGAGGGTTTACAAATAAATGATATGGAAGTCATTTTTAGTAACGATATTGATTACAATATTGACATTGCTGGAACTAGTTTAACTGTGGAAGGCCCTGAAGTATGTACTGAAACAATAAGTCCAGTTCAACCTTCGAAAACACAAAGGAAAAGTAAGTAAACATAGTATATAAGCAGAGAATAAAATATGAATAAAGCTTACAGCCCCTTCCCTAAAAAGTCAGCATGTTAAGCAATACAAATAAAAGAGCGCTGTTTCTCTTGCAAGGAGTGGAACTAAAAAAATGCATATTTGGCCGCAATGTATAGATTTCACTACTTTGATAGGTTGAATTTTTTGGAAGGTAGTTTGGAACTTGGCCTCTTTTCACTGATAGGTTTTTGTTGGGAAGTATATGTACAATGCAGACAACACATACCATACACATAAACCAATTAAAAAAGTGGTAAAAATGTTGTTTCTTAAAAAGTCTTTGAAATTATAATTTATTATGTAAAAATTATGTAGACAATACTAAAATATTTTATCATCTTAAACTAGAAAATATATTTATTTCAAGAACCAGTCTCAATGTATTTATTCTGTAGTATCTAATGATTAATAATTAAATTACAATTTAACTTATACAATTGTTTTAAAACAATTATTGTGAATTAGTACAAAAATGAATAAATTAATAAATAAAATGTTTTGTAGATAGTTCAATATTTCTAAACCATTTTTGAAAATATAAAGTGTCACCATAGTTTTTAATCTTTAAAAAAGTTGTATTAGATTGCTGTATATAGTTAACTAATATGTTCAAATATTATGTGAAGCATAAGCAAAAGAGTAACTAGTATTTTGTTTGGCTCAATAATTAGAAACAAATAAATTTGCAAATAAAAGGGAAATAGAAATAGATGACTAGAGGATAATTTTTTAAACATTATTGAAAAGTCTAAAAAAAAATCACTGGTTCATTGGTGCTGAACTTAATGTTAAATAATTAATTAATCAAATAATCAAATACCTATACCTACATTTAATTAATTATGTTTTTGGTAAATTTCTTATTTAACACCAACAAAATGTATGTTATTTTTAGATTCCGAGCAGAATAATAAAAAATAACCTTTTGATTTTACTTTGATGTGTGTTTTATTTTATTTGTATCTGTCTACAAGATAAGTAGTTGAAATAATGCTCCGATCTTAAACAATGGGGGTGGTTTCCAATAGCAAAATTTTGTCTAGTTGGTACTTTCACCGCAGTTGACAATCTATATAATTATTAAACCGAAATACTTAACTTTGTCTCTATATAAATATGTTTATTTTAATTTGATTGGATTTATTAGTATTATTTTGTTTTATTTCTTAAAGGTAATGAAAAGGCATCAAGTTTGGCAAAGGTCTTAGATGCATTTACAGATAAAGGGCAAGTTGCACAAAGTCAGATGAGTTTAGATTTCATTGAAGGTCAAAATAACATGTTACAATAAGAGTTTGAAAAGCAGAGAGCATGGGAACAACAAATTCTACTAAAAGAACGTGAGATTGTCAAATCTGAGAGAGAAGAAAGCAAAGAATTATTTAAAATGTTGACTGGTGCTATTAAAGACTCAACAAAATAATAGTTATTAACAAGATACATTTTTGTAATGAAGTAACCAAAGTTCCTAACTTTGTTTTTATTAAGTTTGTATAAATGGTTTATTATATAATTTTTTTTTAATTTTAAAAAAGGTTTTTATATTTTGTTTGTTAAATTTTTAAGTTTGTATTTCTTTTCATTATAATCATTCATATTTAAGAGGTCATTAAATAATTAACTAAAATAATACAGCAAGCTATAGGTTATTTATTAGTTTTAAACATAACAAAATCAAAATTATATAGTAATAATAAACATACGAATTACATAGTATGAATTATGAATTTTTAACATATATTTAACGTGTAAATGAAGATTTTCTTAGTGGATAATTCATTGCCATGTGCTCTTTGAGAATTTCCCTTATTTCTTTTGAATTTGTATTTATTGTATCTTGCGATAATTCACGTTGACTAGGTTGAGCATAACATATATTTCCTTCATTTACTTCCATTGTCCATGATGCATGGTAATTATCTTTAAATTGTTCAACAATATTGTGTAATACACAACATGCTGAGATGACTTGTGGCATAAATTTATAATTTATATCACATCGCTTTAGTAAACATCTCCATCGTCCCTTTAATGGACCAAAAGAATTTTCAACACATATTCTAGCTGAAGAATGGTAAGTGTTAAAAGACTCTTGCTCTGGTGTTAGACTTCCAGTATAACCTTTTAATAACCATGGCAATAGTGGGTATGCTGGATCACCAGCTATCATTAAAGGTATTTCTTTTCCATTTATACTTATATAATTATGCTTTGGGATTAATTGTTCATTATTTTTGTATAAACTTGAATCTTTTAAGACTGTGGCGTCGTGTACACTTCCTGGATGCTTGATTGTGACATTACGAAATATGTAATTATTATCCACATAACCCTGAAGAACCCATGGATGGCGCCAGCCTTTTCTGTTGACAAAATCTCTATAACCTATTTTAGGGGGCAATATTGGAATGTGAGTCCCATCAATAGCACCAATCAGTTGCTCCATTCCAGTTCTTAGCTTTATACACTGTGCAATGAATTTAGCTTCTTAGATTGTAGGCATAGTAATATGCAAAGGTCTCAAAAGTTCATTTATGACTTTACAAACTTGATAAACGCATGTATGGACAGTACTTTTATGTACACCAATAAGGTTTCCAACAACTCTATACTCTGAACAACTTGAGAGTTTAAAAATTACAATTGCAACTTTTTTCTCAACTGATAATGATGGTCTAAATGCTAACGGATTGGGCGACAATTCTGAAAATAACTGAGTACATATGTAATCAAATGTTGATTTTTTCATTCGAAAATTATCCAACCAATCTTGATCCGTGAAGTGATTGTTTACGATCCGATTCCAAAAGTCTCCACTTCTCATCTAACAAAGAATATTTTTATAGTTAAAAGGTGTAATTAAGTAAGGTTACAGAAGGATTTTACCAACCTTTAAGTATTTATTAATATAAATTCAAACCAATATTAATGATAAATAAATATCTCATGTTTAAAAAAAAAATGTATCCAAGGCCTCTTGATACAAAAAAAAAAAGCTATACGTTTATACTTATATATTTATGGATACAATTATGAAAATATATTAATTATAATTCCCTTCATCCATAAGCTTCGACACTTGAGTACATTGATTTATTTGTTCAACTATTGTAAGCGAAAGAGCATCTTCAACAATAGTTTGACGCGGTCCCTTCTCAATCAAACCGCCAATCGACGACGGACGACGCCGGCGCGCGACACGCGCGCCTGGAACCGTCGGCCGGCCGTCCGGTGAACCGGATGTTAAGACGTGGTCTCTCGTTCTCCTGACCTTAACTGGACACACCTCAGGAACTACACACGTCCGTATATTCGAAACCGTGTTTTCTTGTATCAGACCGTAGGAATGTCGTTATTTTTTTTGCTTTTACAATAAGTCGAAGCCACTCCGTGCGCCGTTCGTTGTCTCTCATTAATACCTTGTGTTAATATCGTTGTTGATCCGACCTGACTTTTGGTCACCACCACACCACCGTTCACGTGGCACCACCTAATCCGCATCAAGTTGATGGCATGTAGTAGCAACTATTAACAACATTTTATTGTTTTAATAATTTCCTTTTAGTAATTATCATTTTTAAATACTTTTTTTCTTCGCATTTCAGCTGTCAATCTTCTGCGTTTTAACTCAGCAAGAATTGAAACAATTAATTTTAATTTTGTCATGATTTATAACTATTGTAAATTTGTATTTTGTAACACAAAATGAATAAATATTAAATCATATTATCTAATATGAAAATTTTAATCAAATCAATTATCAAGTCGATGGTGACAATGCAAAAGGGCATAAGCGACACTTTTTACGAAATCTACTTTTTGTAATTAGGGCATAAGCGACGTCATTCTCTATCGATTGCTCTTACTCATTTATCGATACGATTATTTTTTACGATATAAGACGAAAATTTAGATTTAGACCTAAGCGCCAAAAAGAGTAAATTAATTAACAGGTGTGGTATCACCCGTATTGGATAATACGCGGTAAACCAACTTTATACCTTACCCTCGTACACTCTAGGCTAATGACTGTCTCTAGAATAAATTCAGATTAGCACTGTTAACCTTTGAGGTACGATGGTAGCGTTTTGTCAGTTCTTCGTCCGTTTCCTAAATTGGAATGACTATTAGGACGCCACAACCAGAGAACTGTTCAGTTTGTAATAAACCTCATTGACTATAGGTGTGTGGGTCTGAGCACTGTTCCAATATTAAAGGTAAGAACGAAGAAGACTTGAAATAATACTCAACTCGGGTTTTAGGTCGGAAAACACCTTTATTATATTAAAACAAACATAAATGAAACACTTAGCAAATTCAAATTGTCTAGCCCGTACTACGTCGACGTTTCACACGTACAACCGTCGTACCTACGTCCTCGCCGAATCACTCAGCGACAACGGGACCCCCGTGCCTGCGCGTACTGCGGTTTTATATAGTAAAATCTTATTGCTGCCTCAGCACATATTGCTTCACTGACCTATGTCAATAGTTTACAATTTAAAATGTTCCCACCTGTATTACATATATAATATATATTAAATAATAATATCTTGACGACTGTCTACAATATACGACACAGGTATGTGAATAAATAGGGAATAAGCGACATTTAGTTTTAAATGTTAGCATAAGCGCCATAGGATTTTACTTTATGGGGCCTAAGCGACAACAACATTATTATAGTTAATAATAGATTTTATATAAAAAACTATTTTCTGTTATCTATTCGGTTGACACTTGACAATAAATAATAATAATAAAAAAATAATACGTCGTAATCTTAAAAAAATGCAATATCGTATGAAGCTATTAACATTATTTTATTCCAAAGAGAATATTTATTTACGTTTCTATTAAAAAATAAAATGTCATTATTTATAATTAATGATTATAAATATTATAATATTATTATCAATAATAATGAACTATGATAGACTCTTTGTTTTTTGATAATAATTATTATTTTTGCGAGTGCATGTTCAGACGACAGACATACGTCTCAAATTCACTTTAGGTAAATATTACATTTATTAATAATAGATATTATTTAAGAATTAAGATTCATTAGGGTTGTCTCTTTATTATATCTGCAGAGTATAACAAAATGTCACGCGATGTTGCCGGTTTCGGAACTTGTAAAATAGCTACACGTAATAGATACGTACGGATGTTTTATACTTTAAACAACGCTACTAGGCATTAAGTTTATAAATATAATATATTGTTGGGGCTAGGATTTCTAGGCGTTCGCATGTTTTTTCCTTGAGTCAAAATTGATTGATTGTCAGATATGTCCACGATTTGGATTATTCTCGAATAAATAAAACAATTTTTTTTTTTGCATAATATTTTGAACATAATGCATATAATTGCATAGTTATCTTATGAATTATAAATGAACCTCTATAATTAATGTGTTATTTGTCGAAAAGCCGTATATTTACTACCTATCTAAAATCTTATCTTGGTCAGATGACCGTCGGTTACCGTATGGTTGCATATTATACATTATTTTTGTTTTTCATTAATATGGTAAGTTTTAGTTAATAAACATCCATTCTTCGTTCCAACCACCGGTTATTCGTGTTTCAAAATTTGAAAGAACATAATAATATCATTACAGCAATATTCAATGTAACAATAACTAGGTACAGTAAAACTCGCTTAAGACGCTCTTTAAGGGACCAGCTCTCTAGAAAGTCTTAAGCGGGGGAAAGCGTCTTATGCGGGAATGAAACAAAATTATGTGGTTGAAATAAATATAAATTTTTTTATTATTAAACATAATTTAATGAGAAATACACTTATAAATTAATTATAATTACAATATACATACATACTTATATTTGTGTGCTACTGAATTTAATTTAAAAAAATATTATTATTACATACATATTTTATTATTGTTTATTAAAAAAATTATCTATTTTTGATTGTTTAAGGTTCTGACAATGCGTTTTAGCAAGAAAGTTTTCAATTTTATTAAGACAACCTAACATTTCTTCGGAATTTTCAACACAGGATAATACTTTCCGAATTTCCGATAAATGTTGCAAACCAGTAGTTATTGTAGGAGTAGGAAAGTCTTGATCTTCTTCTTCTTGATCGTCGTCTTCTTTCTCATTGTCCACTAAGTTCGTATCAGCGATTATTTCATCTAAAGTCCAAGTGCTACTGGTTACGAGTTCATCATCTACTGTTGCATAATCAGCAAAGTTTTGCAGAAGCTGAAAGTCCTCTTCTTTTAAAGGTGAGCTATCAGCCTGTTCAGAGTTGTTCAACACACCAAATGCAGCTTTCCGAAAACAGTTTATTATTACATCTGGTTTAATTTCATCCCAAGCGGCACTAACGTAATGTATGGAGTCCAAAACATTAACTTTAGTTGAAATTTGGTTGGTACTTTCCAAGTCTCTCAAGTACCGCTGAACTAACTTTTTTCGGTACTTTTGTTTTATCACTTTAATGATACCCTGATCAGGGGTTGTAACTTAGATGTAGTATTTGGTGGAAAGAAAACAAGTTTTATATTGGTAGTAGGGATATATTTAGGGTGAGCCGGACAATTGTCGACGAATAGAATAATTTTTCTCTCTTGTTTACCGAAAAATGAATTTAGCTGTTGAATCCAGTTCATGAATAGTATTCCTGTCATCCAAGCACGACATTGAGCAAGGTATTCACATGGAAACGTACGAACATTTTTGAAACAGCGAGGATACCTACTTTTTCCAATGACAACCAACTTCAATTTATGGGTTCCGGTAGAATTTGTACATACTAAAACCGTGAGACGTTCCTTGCTCAACTTTCCACCATGGCATGTCTCATTTTTAAAAACAAAAGATAAACGATAGACGATAGACGTGGTAAGGGCCGTCCACCAAATTAAGTGGCAATTGAAAATATGAAAAATCTAGATTATTTTATTCAAAAACTACCTGCAGTACCATCGCACTATTGTCGGGCATCAAGTATAAAAAAATACTTACCAGCAGAATTTGGTAATATATCAAGTTATACTTGGTATACATGGATTTTTGTAAGAAAAATAACCATACAGTTATGTCGAAAAGTACTTTCAAGATAGTATTTACGAAAAAATACAATATTGGGTTTCATCTTCCTAAAAAAGTAAATGTAATCTTTGTTCAAAATTTGATAATATAAAATTATCTAGTGACTTGAATGAAGAACAAAAAATTAAAGAAAAAAAACATCTAGATGAAAAAGAAGAGTGTCGGCAAATGTTTTTATTTGATCAACAATTATCTAAAGCAGGCGGAGATTTTGTATGCTCAAGTTTTGACCTCCAGAAAGTCTTAAATACACCCATGGGTCCACACATGAATTTATATTACAGCCGTAAATACAGTTATTACAATTGTTCTATATACGAGTCTGGTACATACAATGCGTATGCTTATTTGTGGGGTGAGATTGACGGTTTACGTGGTTGCAATGAAATTGTGTCATGTATTTATCAATATTTGTGGGATTGCAATAAAAATCCAAAGTTTAAGTCGATTTCCCTGTATTGTGATTCGTGTGCAGGCCAAAATAAAAACCGAGCTATGTTATTTATGATTATGAGTGGTTTGAAAAAACAATGTGCCGATTTAACCGAGGTAAAAATAGTTTTCTTACTCCCGGGACATAGTTATATGCCAGTAGATTCAATTCATGCGACGATCGAACGCTTTATTAATGATAAAACAATTTGGGCACCTAGTGAATGGCCTCCGCTTATAAGGAACTCGAGGGTTAACCCAAAGTCAATAAAGGTGAAAGAGCAACAATTTCAAAACTTCCTAAATTGGAAAAAAATGCTGATGAAGTGCTGCCAAAAGTCCTAAAAGATAAGGAAAAAAATATTGTAAAAACTTCCAAAATTAAATATATTAATTTTTACAGAAATCCATTACAAAACGATGACGTGATACTTGAAGCATTTTCTTCATACAATGCCGATGCAAAAGGATTTATAATAAACTAGCTGATCCCGTGCACTTCGTTTCCCGTTAAATGTCTCTATATTAAACTCTATATGACTCAAACATTGTTCAATGCGTTATTTAATATTCGGTGTATGATGTTCTAGATTTATCTTAACTTTTCTGTTGCCCGGAATAAAAATTCTGAATTGCAGTAGTACATTATCAGATAGGTAATTTACCTGCGGTAGATCGCGGACCCCGTGCTGTTTGTACGTAAGTGTATGATTTAACTCAAAAAGTACCAAAGTTATACCAAGTTTGAGTTTTTACTTAATTCCACCTACCTATAAATCCTAACCTAACATAACCGTACTAAAATCCGATGAATAAAAAAAAAACCAAATTTAACCCTTTTAAAATTAGCGTATCTTCTTCCCATAGGTCTATTCTACACACCGTCATTCATTTATATATAAGATATATTTACAAAAAATAATAATACAAATCAACAAACATGCCCGATTAACCAATAGCAACCAATATAATATAATACACCATAGAGTAAATAAAGACAACGGTATCGAGTTCAAATCCCAGACATCAATAAATAGTTTTTGCAGTTTTTCTAATTATTCAGTTGACCTTCACCTGGCAATTACGAACATCTTAAAAAAAAATTGAGCAAAATCGGCCCAGCCGTTCTCAACTGATGCAATTACGAATTTTTTGTCTCCATTTTTATATATATAGATATACCAAAACCAACTTCGGAAGCATTATATTTTCCAGAACAAGCATATACTTCAAATCTTTCTAAGATTTCTAAAGAAAAATCTAAAGATTTATTAAAGCTGTGTACAGATGGCATTATACCAGGTAAATTTCATCAAAAATATATTAATATGACTTCAAATGAATTAGTAAGGGACTGTATTCAAGAAACTGATGAAGATGATGAAGTACCACCAGACGAAGATGTCCATAAGAAAACAAATAAAACAAACGTTGTGAAAAAATTAAAGGGGAAAACTAAACAGTTGCTACTAAACACTGTATGAGATATGTTTTTAAAATATTACAGTATTGTTCATGTTATTTCTATTTTATATAATAATAATATTATTATAAATGTATAATATTTATAATTAATTATATGATTATTTATACTTAATATTTAACTAAATTCGAGTCATGTTTTTGTTTTATTTTTAATTTTTAACTGATTTTATATGATTTTATTAACTTGATACAATTCACAGTAAATATTTTTTTTGATATGACAATAAAATCAAAATAACTTTAACTTTTTAACACGTTAATGCCCAGCCTTGTATACATATTTACATTTTACATTATTTACATTATAATATACAATATTTACATTAGGTATATACATTATTATATACATTATACACATTTATATATACATTATTTACATTATATATACATTATTTACATTATATACATTATTATATACATTATATACATTATTATATACATTTTATACATTATACACATTTATATATACATTATTTACATTATATATACATTATTTACAAAAGGAAGGAAGGAAGGAAGGAAGAAATTGTTGAAGGAGATAAAGATAAAAAAAAGATTATGTTTGCACACCAAGGAATACGTAAAGCGCTAATTCATAGCGCTGTACTAATACCTTGGCAGCCTTAAACTTCTTTTTATCAGTTATCTTCTTTAACAATTTGACTTGCCCATTCACAATTTGTGGTTGGAACTTTTGAACATATTGCTGGGAAATTGAAAAACTTTCCCTTGCCTTCCGGCTTGGGTGAAAATAAGTTATCAAATCCTCAGCAACATCCTCAACAATTCCGGCCAAATAACGACCTCTAATCAAAACAATTACAGCATCACCTGGTGCGAAGCCAAGCGATGCTGTAACTGTTTCGACTGATGAGGTGATTGTTGATTGGCAAAAGTAATTGTTTTTCCGCATCAAATCTTTTTATTTTGCCAAAATACCACATCTCGGATGTTATACAATCGATTGGCTTTTTAGCGCTCATCCCACGAATACTAATTATAGAGGAAAAATTATGAAAAATCTTTAAAAACATTGTATTTCGTTCGTCAACTCAAGGAAACCGGTGACTATGAATGCACACCATTTCATATTATTAATAATTAAAAATATAAGTATTTTGAATACACCGATTGGATATACCCATTTTTTTCTTCTCATTTTCATGCGTATTGCAATACATTTAACTCATAGCTAACAGATTTGAAGGGTTTGGTGCAACAACGAGATAAGTCCACATTTTTAAATTGTTCAGGATGAATAAGAATCAATTTTTTTTAATGGCAAAAACGTAAAAAAAAAATGTTTCTACATATTTTAATTCTATTAGTAGTACCCAAAAAGAATAAACACATTTGGGTTTTCTACATTCTTAAGATTTTTAAAAAATAATTTTCAAAGTTAAGTTGGCATGGAGTTTTCTGGTTTTTTGCCACAAAATATTATTTTTGTTACTGTAAGTATAAACAAAATATTTTTTTTGACCAACTTAAATATTGATTTTAACCAAAAACTCTTTGCAGACTTCTTACATCATATCTTAATGTTCCATTGGTGTTATTATTTTGTATTCTGGAACCTTTAATATTCAATTAAATAAAAAAATATACAAAAATAGCTTATGGAATTTTTCGTTGTTATGGTTATTTCATGTTTAAAAATTGAAAACACAGTATAGGCAGAATGAAACTTTAAAAACACTTTTATTTGTTTATTTTTAAATTAATAAAAAGCATTATTACAATATACCATAGTATAAACATTTTCTAAATACTAATCTCTTTAAATATATCACCTACCATAAATAGTTATAAATTAAAAAAAAAATAATGTCCATACTGGGTACAAGAATCCCCATTCTTGATTAAGTTGATGAAACAAAAACTGAAAAAAGTATATTAAACAATGTATATTTAGAAACATACTTTTTATTAATTAAAAAAATATATTATTTTTCTAATAATAGGTATTTAGTTACCTCTAAAGAACATGAATGATGATAATAATAATAATTTAATATTCATTTTCAGAAGTTGGTACATTTTCATTATTTTGAACGTCTCCCTCAAGCTGTTCATAGAACCATATAAACTCAGATGGTACATATTTTGATGCTAAATCCTGTACATCTTTTAATTTAGCTTCTTTAAGCTTAAGTTTCATAGAATATAGTAGAGGAAGATGTTCTAGAGGATATTTCAAGTCCGTTCCTGATTTTTGTAAAATAAAATGTTCTTTTAAAGTGCTATTTGCAACGGTTTTGCAGTACAGTCCATCTTTCACATATTCTATGAGGCGGTATGCCATGATAGTAAACCTTTCTTTGTGTGAACTTGTTAAGTATTTTTTAAAGTTGGGTTTTAGATATTCAGAAAAATTGTATATATCGTTTTGTGTAATATTTATTACATTAAATTTATCACTGCTAGTTTCTTTTACCATGTTTTGATATGTCTGAGGTATGAACACTCGTTCCATCTTACGCTTATTTTTTTCTATCAGCCCAAAACAACGGTCACAGGGGAGAAAACTGTGACCGGGTTCCGGATAACGATGTGTAATTTTTTCAAGACCAAAAGCATTTGACTGAATAATAGTATAAAAATATTGAAACAAGGCCATATTTTTGTTTTGACTGCTGCAGTTATCCGAAAAAATATATAACTATTTTACTCCTTGTGAAAGTAAGTTTTTTAAATAATAATCAATTAGGCTGATAACTTCATTTTGTCCTTTTTTCCCATTGTTTCATCATACATGAAAAAGTAGCCCTGACGAAGTTTACCAGAATACATAGGCGTAATTTCGCTAAAATTCAGGGGGTGCAAAACTAATCAGGAAAGTTACAAACTTTCTACAAAATTGCAAAATAGGTACCGCTTGAACATTTATTTACTACTTTTTCAATACCAGTTCCTCGATCAAAATTCAAAATTGTATACACAATTTAGTATTATCATTAGTAATATGAAGTAAATACATTTTATTATATAAATTAAAATATTACTAGACACTATAATTTATTACATTGATATAATATTAATACATATTAATTAACAAAATTAAATTAAACTTAAGCATCTGCCATGTAGGTACAGTTGCTGCTGCATTGAACTCGTCGATTACAATTTATTTCAGAATCTATAACTCGATTTCTATCAATTTGTAAGTTGTAACATAGCTATATCAGACAGCCATTCTTGTCCCACAGTTGCTCTGAGGTAAGTTTTAAGCCTTCGTAATCAGGAAAAACTTCGTTTACAAGATGATAGTGTTTGTAGGTATTGTCATAAATAGTGTTAAAATTTCAGATAATAAAGGACACCTATTTTTAATTTCACCTTGTTTCATATAATCTAATTTGTTTTAAAATACACTATTATTTGAGTTAGTTTGTTTAGATTTGAATATTCTAATAAAGATTTTTAGTTCTATTTGAAGTTCATGATTATAAAACTTATAGGTGTTACTAATAATGTCTAATAACGTTAACATTATTTTATAAATATTTAAAAAATTGGTAAAATTATACATTATAAATATAGAAAATTTAGAGGGTGCAAAATGATAGTTTTGCACCCCCTCAACAATTCCAGGGGGTGCAAGTGCACCCCTTTGCACCCCCGAGATTACGCCTATGCCAGAATACACACAACAATTATAACTCCAGAGCTGCCTTTTATAAAAAACGTCACCACAAGGAATATGTGGTAAGGGCATATTTTGCTGATAATCGAATGACAATACCTCAATACTGTCATTAAGTCTCGATTCTTTTGATAGGTTCTTTAAGTCAGTGTAAAATGTTGAAGCTTTTTCAACACGCTGTTGTTTTTCTTCAATAAGGTTGGATTTTAATTCAATGTCAAGTTCTGCATTTATCATATTTTGTAAATGGTCACAAGTTTGACATGTATTTGTTTTATGATGGCCAAAAGACAGATTAAAGTTTTTGTTAAAATATTGTGAAAAAAAATTCATACTTTACAGTAGGTTTAACTTTTTCTCCCTTCTTTAACTTTTCAAAAACGTCAAACTCGTATTTTTCTAAATATAAGCTGTACAACTTGCTTATTTAATTCAGGTGATAAAAATCTTTTATTTTCATTGTCATGTCTACTGTAGTGTGAAATATACCGAGGAAAACTAAGGATATGGGTTTTAATTTTAAATAAAATGTGATCACTCAATTTATTCGGTCGATTCTTATGCTTTCCACGCAAATCCACAGGGCTTGGAATATTTTTTTTTACTTTTTGAATAATTCTTTCGACCCTCGATTTCCCTATTCCAAACAGTGAACAAAAAGCTTTTTTACAGACAACTTTTTCATCAATTCCATCAAAACGAATTTTATATTTGCAAGTTAATGATCTTGGTTGTTTGGAATTATTAACAGGTCTATGTCTAGCAACGTTATTTGTTATAATTAAACCTCCTAAAAATGTGTCTTGTTTTTCTTTGTTTGAAATATTATTGAACATGTTTATAGTTAGTTGTTTTGTTCATCAGTAAATTGTTTAAAGGATTCTGATTTGCATTTACAATCTACCCCTGTTGTTCTTTTTTGTACTATTTGCCTCGTAAACTAACAACTCCTTCACCTTTAGCACGTTTTGCTTTGACAATATTTCTCTCCCATACTGATGGGGTTGCAACTCTTTTTTTTCAATTAAATGTTGAACATTTAACATTTAACTTCCCTGCTCATCATTTTCTACCGAGACCTCATCTTCATTTTCAAAACCATCCTGTACATATGCAGAACCGACTACCATACATTCTTGTAGATTTTCGTCATGTTCAGAGTCACTACTTATTAATGGATGTATTCCATGTAAATCATTATTTTCTGCACTACACTCACCTAAAATGAAATATGGATCGATAATGTCTTCATCAAATTCTGAGAAATTGAAGGAATCCTCAGACAGCGCAGCGTTTATATCTTCAGCATTCATACTCTTAACTGCGTATAAATCGATAAATCTTTAAAAAAAGCAACTTTAATGTAGGTATAGTATAATTCAAAACATTTAACGAACAATATTAATTGAAGTAAAACTAATCACCGGTACATGATGGTCAAGATAACAGAGAATGATAAATATTGATACTAAAATCAACAGTACTACAACTAAAACAGTGTGACTACAGTTTGGTGCAACAACCAGATAACTCCGGAGTTATCTGGTTGTTGCACCAAAATCAAAAACAAAATAAATCCAATTTCATTAAAAATGATATATATATATTTATCGGATTTAACTGGTTGTTGCACCAAAATGTAGATAATTTTTTCCTACACAATAATCCACGAAAAAGTGCATTTTCGAAAAAAGTGGACTTATCTCGTTGTTGCACCAAGCCCTTCATTTAGTATATGAGCTTGGTGTGCCAATTGTTTATGACAATAAACTAATACTTACCAAAAGACTGGTTGTTGTTTAAGTGGTAAATAAATGAGAGAGGATTTTGGGTGTTTCTAATCCTTTCAAAAATGGTTAAATCGGTCAACTTCGAGGATCGAAGCAGTCAACCATCATATGGTTTTCATAATTTTTCCCAAGAAAATGGAGATAAAATTCAGAAAACGAAATTTTGAGTTTTTATATCATATTTTTTCCAAGGAATAATTAATAAATACATTTTTTTTCTGGTTAGAAATGTTAGTAAAACTGTGTTTAAAATAGTGGATAAGTTTTAAATAATATTATTTACTCATTGACAGCTGTTTGAATATAAGTACACTATGGTCATTGGTCACAGACTAAGATATTCAAGATATAACAGAATACTAGTAGTTTTAAAAAAGTATATGTGGGGCCCGGCTGGCCGGCTCCATATGTTTAGTTCAGTGATTGTTAACACAATTTCGTAATTACAGTGGTTTCTTTTTTGAACATAAGTCTATTTACCCTTTAATTTTTTACCCAAACTTTATGAAATTATATTATTCTGATAGACCATTTTATGACGAATAAATGCATATAATAATAACAGTGGTTTCTTTTTTGAACACAAGTCTATTTACCCTTTATTTTTTACCCAACCTTTATGAACTTATATTTTTCTATACCTAGGTAAAATTCTATAGACTCGACCCCACCAAACAAAACAACAATTATTGTTTATTATTTATCAATTATTTATTTATTTATAAACAACAATTCATATATAGCATCTTTGACGTCACGCTTTTTTCCCGTAATTTTCACCTTGTGGAGGTGCTGCATTCGGCTAAAATTAAAATAAATACTCAACTATTAAGAGGACGCTACCCATGCATTTGTTGTCATTAGTTATATAAATATATCATGGGCTGACTAACAGTCTTCGCTCAGAATTGTTTTTCTTATACAATGATATTATATCATTGAATTCAAATTTAATACCATCCATTATACAGTGACCTACTTGTAACCTACTGTACAGCAGAGCGACATCCACTTTTTTTTTATAAGCATTTCAAGTTTAAATATTGTACGTCAAAGTACTTAAAAATTACAAAACTTTGCAAATTATTTTTTTTACACAAGCTTTTGGGGAATCTTCAATCTACGTTTTGAACATTTAATACAAGATTGAAGATTCCCCAAAAACTTGTCTACCTATATGTCTAACATAAAGATGGTTACATACCTACAACATTGACCATCACATACCTAAATATATATATATATATATATATATATTATATATCCTTCAAAGGTCCTTTTTTGATAATGAATTGGATATTATAATAGTTGACATTAGTATTCACTATTCTCTATTCCCCGTAAGTCTACCCACTCACTTGACGAGAACCAATCACAACTGCGCATGCCGCCGCGTCGTTGGAGCGCTAGTGGTGATCATATGCACGGACGCACGGTGAAAGATAGAGATGGGATTTATCGTTCACTTAGGTGAACTAGTTCATTCGTTCATCGTTCACTTAATTGAACTAGTTCACCGAACTAGTTCATTGAACGATACGTCTAAACATATACTGTACGGACGAACTGAACGATACGTATTATATACCTGTCCTACGTATAGTTCATCGTTCATCATGCAATTGAACGAATATGTATAGTTCATCGTTCATAATGCAATTGAACGAATACGTATAGTTCATCGTTCATAATGCAATTGAACGAATACGTATAGTTCATCGTTCATCATGCAATTGAACGAATACGTATAGTTCATCGTTCATCATGCAATTGAACGAATACGTATAGTTCATCGTTCATCATGCAATTGAACGAATACGTATAGTTCATCGTTCGTCGTTCACTTGCTTAATTGAACTAGTTCATTGAAAGAATACGTACATAACCCATGTCCCATACGAATAGCAATGGTGGGCATGTTAATGAAAATAATTAACTGTTGAAAGTTAAGTTAATTAAATTAAATTGCCTTCAGTTAAGTTAAAAGTTAAGATAGAAAATAAAATTAACTTATCTCAGTTAAAAAAAAGTTAATTTTTTTGAAGGTAGAATATTTTTAAGTCATAAGCCACCATAGTATTTTAGGTAAAAGGACGTTTCGTCCCCTTCAAAAAAGCGAGTCCACGGACGTTTCGTCCCCGTCTATTATTGTGACAGGACATTTGGCCCCCGGGACGACGACGACAACGTCGATAATATGAACTCCCGGCGACCAAATGTCCTACCTTAATAATAGATGGGGACGAAACGTCCGTGAGCTTATTTTTATTAAGGGACGAAATGGCGGGGGCGAAACGTCCGTGATTCAGTACTTTGTTATACACAAACATTTACCAAGATATTTAACACTGTGTAAAAAATTAACTTTTTAACTTAACTTTAACTTTTTAACAAGTTAATGCCCACATTTGACAAATAGTACTCTCTGTACTTTTTATTTATTTATATATATTTTTTTAAGGTCTTTAGTAATATCAAAATATATTCAAAAATATTTGAATTTAATTGTTATAGTCTCTATACCATGTATACAAGCTTTAACCAAGCTCGGGTTAAGATAATTTTTGCCCCGGAGGCATATTATTTTAGGGACCTATATTATACAAATATACAATATACATAATAAACAGTAAATATACAATAGAAATATACCTAGAATAATGGATTGTGACCTTTTAAATAGACAGAATTTGATTAGAAAATAGATTATTTAATTATATCTCCTACTAATAAATGTAGTACCGGTATTTAATATATAAAATATTATAATATAATATTAATAACTATATGCTTTATAGTTTGGTAAAAGCCAATAGGTAACATTTTAATTTTGAACAACTAACAAGTGACGGTTCGAGATAATATTATATATAATAGATATTAGATAATGTTATCTTAGTTCATGCCTCATGGGGTTTGATGAAATGAACGATTGAACGAGCGAAAATATTTACCATTTTGTCGTTTCGGTAAAAAATTTTTCTCGAATGAACGATTTCGTTCGTCGTTTTGTCGTTTTACGTCGTTCATTGGGTGAACGATTTTCAGCGGTGAACGATGTCGTTCACCTTTTAGTGAACTAGGTCCAATCGTTCACTTGGGTGAATAGTTCAATTGAACTAGTTCGTTCGCGAACGACCCATCTCTAGTGAAAGATGCCTACTCGGTCGATGAGCGTTGTTCGCCAAACACCTCCACGGCTCCACAGTCTACCCGCTACCCACTAACCTCTCCGACTGATAGGCTCTGTACGTTCCGATGGCTCAGTATGCATGCGCGCAAATAGTAAACTTAGTAGTTACTGAGATCATTCTGACACTAATATGAGTTATGCCGGTATGATAATAATACAATAATTGTCGTCGATCGGCGGACTTTGACAACTGGACAAAAGTCGCTATGGCACGTACACGTACGCGTAAAATGGTTAACTACAGTTCTATAATGCCGTCGTAAGCAAAAACGGTGGAACTATGTGGAGAAAAACGTGTAAAAACACTTTGTACCTACATTATATTTATTTTAATATATGTTTTCCGGTGTAATCTTTCCAGACGGATACAATGAAACAAAAATAAATATGAATAAATTAATTTTCTACAAGATATTTTACTTTTCACGTTACACCTTAGCCCGTCGTTGGTATCGAGTGAGCGCTCACCTCGTTTTTTCATCATTATTTATTATACTATGAACATGAAATATCGAAACCAACAACAATTAATGTTATATTAATCTTTTCAAAAAATGTTCTTACAATTTTTCTCAATTTTTAAATTGTTAACCACTAAAAATTAATTTAATTTTTATACATAATCATATAATCATTATCATTCATCTTGGTCAAAGCACAGATTATATGAAAACAGATTGTGCACTTAAATCTAAACAAAAAATGGCCTGATATGATCAACGCCAGAATCAATGTGATACAATTCATCTGGTCATTTCAACAAAATGTTTGTCTTAATTATTTTACTTATTCGGACAACGCCAATTGCATAGCAGACTTGGTTGAAATTTTATTTAAAATAAGTACTGATCCTTTTAATGAGGAAACCATAAAAATAATATTTCAAGATAAAAATCCATTTAAATTTAAAAATACACTTAAAATAGATACCCCAGATAATAGGAATTTATCAATGCCTGAGAAAAATGCTTTTATTTATGTTTGTGGGTTTTTGATGAAAATATGTATTGAAAAACATAGTTGCGAAGTTTGTATTCATTATACAAAATCACAAAAAAAATTGGATGACTCTTTTTTACTTTGTTTTTTCAAAGCATATGGAAATTCAGAAGAATCAATGTTTGGTAATTTAATGATGCCACAACATGAATTTTATGATTATATAGATGAGTTAGAAAACATTTTTATAAATAGGTTTCCACAATTATCTATTGAAAATAAAGTGGGTATTAAGTTAAAGTTAAGTATGACTAATGTTGTATTTCGACATCCGTGTCCACTATTTAATAAAGAGTATTTAATTAATTATTTTATAAGATTTAGGATTTATGCTGCTATTAAATTTTTAAATAGGAATTTAATATCAGAAAAAAAAAATAGAAAATTGTGTATATTAAATCATTTATGAATAAATTAGAAAGAAAGCCATCTGTATTAAAATGTACTTAGTTATGTTTATAATTTATAATATGTATTTATTTTTAATTGTTTATAATAAAAATTGTAAGTTATTTGTTTCCCTTTCCAATAAACTTACTATATACAAATCAATAATTCGACCAGCTTGGACATATGGTATCCAGTTATGGGGCTCTGCAAAGCCCTCTAACACCAACACGCTTCAAGCTTTTCAATCTATCTGCCTACGATTAATAACATCTTCTCCTTGGTATTTCACAAACAACAATCTTCACAAAGACCTAAAAATTCCTACACTTAATCAATTAGCAAAAGCTCATTACTCTAAATTTCACTCCAACTTAAACTCTCACAGTAATCCATTAATAAAGCAACTTTCTTCCACCTCACTTCCTGGCAATGTGTGCAGAAGACTCAAAAGACCTGGTGGCCTAGAGACCTACTAAAATAAAAATAAAAAAAAAAAAAAAAAAACCACGACATCATAATGTTCTCGGTCGGGTGGTGCTGCTGAGTGCCTGCCCTTAAATGTTAAACTCTGTTATTTCACATTATTAACTATCAAATTTGCCCATTGTACATAATATTGTATAGATTGTAAATTACTTAAATAAATAAAAAAAAAAAAAAAAAAAGTTATTTGTAATTTACCTGCATTCTAACATTTTTTAATTGCTTAATTTTCTATATTGTTTGATATTGTGATAAATTTAAGTAAATTATTTTTGGAGACAACAATAATATGCATATTTTACTTTTCTATTACTTTTACCAAAGTACAAATTATGGTATGTATGTATATACAATAAATTAGCATTGGTATTTGTGGTCACACTGATTTGGGAGCCAACCAATCAGAGCACCTTGTTCATTTTTTACATTGCAGCATAGAAAGTGCACAATCTGTTTTCATATAATCTGTGTGGAAGATCTTTCGTGCGAATCGATTCCACTCGAACAGATTATGTTTGCACACCAAGGAATTCGTAAAGCGCTAATTCATAGCGCTGTAGTAATACCTTGGCAGTCTTAAACTTATTTTTATCAGTTATCTTCTTCAACAATTTGACTTGCCCATTCACAATTTGTGGTTGGAACTTTTGAACATATTGCTGGGAAATTGAAAAACTTTCCCTTGCCTTCCGGCTTGGGTGAAAATAAGTTATCAAATCCTCAGCAACATCCTCAACAATTCCGGCCAAATAACGACCTCTAATCAAAACATTTACAGCATCACATGACACATACACGCCCGGGGCATGGTCTGCGATCCGACGTAGTCGGATTGCCTACCTGACTAGCTACTTGCATACGAGCGACTCACCCCCACTGCATCCGATCCGCCGCGGGTGGATTGTCCGTTCGGGAATCGTCTTTCACCCGAGATGACTGATAGCTAGACACTCAAACTCAGAATCCGAATTTCTGATTTCAACATACACACTCCAGAACCGGACATACACGCCCGGGGCGTCGTCTGCGATCCTCGGATGGCCTACCTGGCTGGCTGTGTCGTACGATCGACTTGAATCGCCTGACTTACGACTAGACACTCTTCCAAGTTCAAAAATTACCGCTTAACCAGTGCTGCAAACACGACAAAACACAATATCCGACGACCCCGCGTTCCCGCCGCAGGCCGGATCAAAAAACCCAGCCCGAGGCGAAACGACAAAGATGCACCACCGCCCACACAGTCTTTCTGCTGTAGGCGGGATGACAAACGCCCGCATCTATCTTCTTATATTATAGAACGCCAAACAATTATTTTGGCACCTAATTTCTCCAAAGATTTCATACATTTCAAACTTTTCATCGTATAGAGTTCGATGCTGTGATAATTTTGAAATTTTTTCTGCTCATTGCAAACCATTATTTAAGGTGTTTTAGGGCGGGGAAGTGATCTGCGGTGCGGGGGGCGGAAATGTTACGTAATCTCACTCATTGCGCATTTAACCAAATATAACCAATTATTTTTACTAACGAATCCTATCGAACGGCACGAAAACAGTATTGTTGGGCAACTAAGGCATGTCAAAAAGTGAATACAATTTGCTGAAAAAACTTAAGACAAGGTACCGAGGGAAGTACGTAATATTATACATAAACGTGTTTGATTGTTTGGAACGCTCTGTCGCCGGGGACGCTTTAACTTGGGTGCGATAAACGGTAGTAACAAACGGAAGCAGAGTTGTAAGGTAGTAACTAAAGCTACAATTAATTATAAAACTCCAAAATATCAAAAAAATATTCGATTTCATCTTAATTACTAAATAAACAGTAAACAGAAATTGTGATTAAAATTGAGATAACACTTGTGTGGCGGCATATCATAATATAATAACCGCGACCTGGGTAAGCAGCTGCTGTCGTCCGTTAATAATGAAAAATGATACCACAATATCAATTGATAAGAAGTTTTCTGATGATTGATATTTTAACTATGTAAAACAATATTTTGAAAAAAGTCAATGGTATTGAGCGTGAATGCTCAAAAATCGTAAAATAGCGAACTTCATTAAGCCATAACTTCGAAACTAAGTCCGACCGCTGAATTCTGACTTCACTATCGTTCTCAGTATAGTTAACTACATAAGTCTAAAAAAAAAAATTGCAAAAAAAAGGGTGTCCGGTAAAGTAACAAAGTTCCAAAAATCGTAAGATAGCGAACTTCATTAAGCCATAACTTCGAAACTAAGTCCGACCGCCAAATTCTGACTTCACCATCGTTCTCAGTATAGTTAACTACATAAGTCTAAAAAAAAAAAATCGCAAAAAAAAGGGTGTCCGGTAAAGTAACAAAGTTCCAAGTCAATAAATGAATATAAATTTTTTTTGAAATCTGCTGAATATGTGAGTTTTATTAGTTACATTTTGGATTTTTATTTTTGTTTTTAAACATTTAATTTGTTCATTTTTGTCTAATCAGTCGTTACTCATATAGTAAAGTAGACTGGTTTTTTTAAATCATAATATGACCTTCATCCATTGTGATTTATATACAGCAGTAACAATTGATCGCCATAGACTATATGACAGTGATGATGATGTAAGCAATAATAGTTCTGATGATGAGAGTGATGAGAGTAAATACAATTATGCTAGTTCTACCAGTGACGATTGTACCAATTCAAATAGTGATGAAAGTAATAACAATGCTAACTGTATATTTTATTTTTATGGAGGCATTATTTGGATATTTTTTTAGTTCCAGATGACAAGTATGAATGTGCTGATTGCCACAAATTGTTTAAATTTAAATCGTGGTACAATAACCATATGACAACACACGCTATTGTTGGGGTACATCAGTGTCAATATTGCCCTAAGAAATTCAAAAGAAGGGAAAATCTTAAAAGGCATTTCTTAGTAATATATGACATGAGTTGTAAATTTATTTAATATTAGAGTCTTATTAAAGCTAAAACAATTAAAATTTAATTTTTTAATGTTTAATACCTTTCGGATAAAATAAATTTATAAATTTCATTAATTCAGAATTATCTGAGTAAAATTTTAATTTTGATTCTGAAAATTGATTTATTATAACTGGAGTTGTAGGAGGTCTGTATGTTATTGATTCCAAAGCATGCTGGTTTTGTATCATTTGAAGAATTTCCTCCACGGTTAGTGATGAATCCATAGATTTTTTGGGCAATAATTGGAGCAAACTCTTTAAATTGTTTTGATAATTCTGTACCTCAGTTATGTAATTTTCTTGAATTTTGTCGTAGGAAACGTTTGGAAAATGAATTTTGAGAATGTGATCTATGAAATTTTTAATAAAGAAGTATTTTTGTTGAATGGATTGAAATATTTTTTTCTTTGTATTCACATCAAATTGTTGTTGTGTTTTTTTTTCATAGTTAATATTAGTTGGTAGCTGAAACAAATATACAATGAAGCAGATAATTTGAAGTTGTGAATTATTAGAAGTATTTTTTTTTTTTTTTTTTTATTGAATGCCCAGGGGCTTTATATTATTTAGACGACCCAAAGGTCTTTATAAATACGTTTGACAATTATACATATTTTACATACTAGATATAAATTATATATAAATAATTAGAAGTATTTGAATGAAACAAATAAACTTACATTGTAAAATATGGCTGTCCTTAGGTATGAATCGCGATCGATGTAAAGAATGTTATTGATCAATTTATTTCCGTGTTTGTGAGTATTAATTATATTCATTATTTTTATTTTATTCAGTTTGTATATTGTATTTGTGTAATGTTTTTCTTTATATAAGTATTCATCCATGACTAATTCATTTAAAACTTTTTTCAACAAAGGTTTGTCGATGAAATTAAATTTAATTAAACACATAATAATCCGTACATGATCATAAATTTTTGATAACTATAAAAAAAAAAATTAAATGCCATTAATAAATTTCAAACAATTATATGTAATAAATTTTAAATATTTTTTGTGATGCATACTATGAGCTTTGTCTCGATGGTCATCAAACAAGCCAAAATCAAAATATTATTGAATTTGATGTTGGTTGGTACATAAAATTGAATAACAGACATGTCATCAATAATTATATTTTGTGAAATGGTTGTTGATGAATGAATTCTATTTATTTTAAAATTAATATTTTACATTATTTATTTTAGTTAGGTTAGTGATGTTGGAATAAATGTTTACCGTTTTGGTTCATATTCCATATCAATCATGTTGTGCAGCCACCAGGAATTCAATTCATCAACAAATTGTACAAAAAATTTGTCCATTGAATAAATATTATTGGCATTGACAAATTGTAAAAAATTTACAATTTTCCTTCCGTTCTTGTCAATAATACCTAATGTCATATCTTGGAATATATTTGTATTTTTTAAGACAATATATAATTTTATTAAATATATTTTTTGTTTGGATATTGATTTTATCAAATTTTCTTCACATATTTGGGCACTGAAAATTGAAATGTTAAGATGGTATTATTCATTACTAAGTTATGGTATACTATTTTACTTACTCCTCAACATTTTGCCGTAGGTTGTTATATAGCATCGTGCTGGTTATTATGAAGTCAAGGGACTTTATGTTGTGGATAAAATTAAGGCTATCGTTGATTTTGAAATTTTGTGGACATGGAATATTCGGTAGGTCTTTAAAAAAGTGACTCGGCATTGTATATATGTAATTATTTGTTAACTGTATATTATTAATTTCTTGGTGTGATTGGAATAAATAATTTGAATAGTGTAGAACTGTTTTACTTTTTAATATTTAAATAGTCTTTTTTCGATTTGACGCTATTTTTTTTTTCCCTAATTTTTTATTAAATTTTTCGGAAACGTAATTTGTTGCAATATTTTTAATTGTATCAGGATTTGCCTCAATAATTTCATTTTCCAAATTGTTTACTTGTATGAACTCAACAACTTTATGAATGTCAGTATATCTCAATAGAACCTATAATTAATTATTGTATAAGTTGTCTTTTGTGTGATTTTATAATTGTATAAGTGTCTTTTGTGTAAGTAAAATTGTTACATACATTACATTGGGAATTTGCAAAGAATTGTATGGCGCCCACGTTATCGATCAAAAATGCATTCAGTTCTTCTGAATTAATATGTGCCCCAAAGCTGCATATATAATTTAATAAACATTCACTTGTAGTTGCCCCTCCTACACTGAATCTTTGTATTGCGGATGCAACCATCATTACTAAATCCTTTTAAAATAAAATTGATTTTATATAAATAAATGAATAATTATAATATAATTATAGACAGCATTTGCAAAATTGCCATTTTTTTAATGTAAGAATTTAATGCAATGTTTACTTCTCGACGGCGTACTCTAATTGATCGGCAATGATCAGTACAATGATCATTAAAAATATGAATGAGTAATGTAAATTCATATATAAATTTTTGAATACAGAATGGGCAACGTATCGTCAGCCAATGTGCATACAAGTCTTCTGTATATTGTTCTTCATAATCTTTTTGTCCAATATTCGATTGGTCTATAACTAAAAATATAATAAATATGTATTTCGAAGCTGAAATTAAATTGAAAAGTAGTGGTCGCTAAACTTGGTATTTTACTGTAGTAATCCTGGACAAAGTATTATTTTTTGGACAACTCGCCCCCACCCCCACTTTATGCAAATTGTAAGTATCGAAAATTCCGGTGTCTAGGGCAATTAAATAAAAATGAAATACTTACAATCACCAAATTTCGGAAATGAACCCCTCCGAATAATACCATCATATACTTCAAAGCCTTGACGCATCTCTAACTCATGATGGCCTTGAGTCAAGCTACAAATTAAATTAGAACGTTTGGACACCATCACGATGGACCTGGTCGACGAACAAATGGAAAGTGATTGAATAAGAAAATGAACCATAGAGCGAACTTTACGTCAATGTGACAAAACTGAGATTTTATCAGTGTAATATTAAGTGTAAGAATTACTTCGTCGAATAGACGAATGCTAAGTAATTGACGTTTATACGACAAATCGTTATCAATAAAGAGTTGAATAACAATACGTAGAGAATTACAGGATTTTGCAAAGCTATAGTTTAGCGTACGGTTTCCGCATGATGCAAGCTATTCGGACTCTCTGCGGTAATCGTCTCCTCAACGCTAACCACTTTAAATGTTATCCCTAAAAACGTATTCACAGGATAGCAGACTACCTCCTCTGTCTAGGGATGTATTTTTTATAACTACACAATTATATGTAATATAGCGTATTACTGTACGCGGTTCGATGTATAACACGATATAATGGTGTGAACGGGTTCAAATATATTGAACGCCGGGTGAGCGTTTTATATGTACGCCGGGCGAGCGTTTTATATACGCCGGGTGAGCGTGTATAATACGCCGGGTGAGCGTTTTATATGTACGCCGGGTGAGCGTTTTATATATACACCGGGTGAGCGTTTTATATGTACGCCGGGTGAGCGTTTTATATGTACGCCGGGTGAGCGTTTTATATACGCCGGGTGAGCGTTTCGTATACGCCGGGTGAGCGTTTTATATGTACGCCGGGTGAGCGTTTTATATGTACGCCGGGTGAGCGTTTCGTATACGCCGGGTGAGCGTTTTATATGTACGCCGGGTGAGCGTTTTATATGTACGCCGGGTGAGCGTTTTATATACGCCGGGTGAGCGTTTTATATACGCCGGGTGAGCGTTTCGTATACGCCGGGTGAGCGTTTTATATGTACGCCGGGTGAGCGTTTTATGTGTACGCCGGGTGAGCGTTTTATATACGCCGGGTGAGCGTTTTATATACGCCGGGTGAGCGTTTCGTATACGCCGGGTGAGCGTTTTATATGTACGCCGGGTGAGCGTTTTATATGTACGCCGGGTGAGCGTTTTATATGTACGCCGGGTGAGCGTTTTATATGTACGCCGGGTGAGCGTTTTATATGTACGCCGGGTGAGCGTTTTATATACGCCGGGTGAGCGTTTCGTATACGCCGGGTGAGCGTTTCGTATACGCCGGGTGAGCGTTTCGTATTTACGCCGGGTGAGCGTTTTATATACGCCTGGTGAGCGTTTTATATACGCCGGGTGAGCGTTTTATATACGCCGAGTGAGCGTTTTATATATACGCCGGGTGAGCGTTTTATATATACGCCGGGTGAGCGTTTTATATGTACGCCGGGTGAGCGTGTATATACGCCGGTGAGCGTTTTATATACGCCGAGTGAGCGTTTTATATATACGCCGGGTGAGCGTTTCGTATACGCCGGGTGAGCGTTTTATATACACCGGGTGAGCGTTTTATATATACGCCGGGTGAGCGTTTTATATACGCCGGGTGAGCGTTTTATATACGCCGAGTGAGCGTTTTATATATACGCCGGGTGAGCGTTTCGTATACGCCGGGTGAGCGTTTTATATACACCGGGTGAGCGTTTTATATATACGCCGGGTGAGCGTTTTATATGTACGCCGGGTGAGCGTTTCGTATACGCCGGGTGAGCGTTTCGTATGTACGCCGGGTGAGCGTTTTATATACGCCTGGTGAGCGTTTTATATACGCCGGGTGAGCGTTTTATATACGCCGAGTGAGCGTTTTATATATACGCCGGGTGAGCGTTTCGTATACGCCGGGTGAGCGTTTTATATACGCCGAGTGAGCGTTTTATATATACGCCGGGTGAGCGTTTCGTATACGCCGGGTGAGCGTTTTATATACACCGGGTGAGCGTTTTATATATACGCCGGGTGAGCGTTTTATATACGCCGGGTGAGCGTTTTATATACGCCGAGTGAGCGTTTTATATATACGCCGGGTGAGCGTTTCGTATACGCCGGGTGAGCGTTTTATATACACCGGGTGAGCGTTTTATATATACGCCGGGTGAGCGTTTTATATGTACGCCGGGTGAGCGTTTCGTATACGCCGGGTGAGCGTTTCGTATGTACGCCGGGTGAGCGTTTTATATACGCCTGGTGAGCGTTTTATATACGCCGAGTGAGCGTTTTATATATACGCCGGGTGAGCGTTTCGTATACGCCGGGTGAGCGTTTATATTACACCGGGTGAGCGTTTTATATATACGCCGGGTGAGCGTTTTATATACGCCGGGTGAGCGTGTATATACGCCGAGTGAGCGTTTTATATGTACGCCGGGTGAGCGTTTTATATGTACGCCGGGTGAGCGTTTCGTATACGCCGGGTGAGCGTTTTATATACACCGGGTGAGCGTTTTATATATACGCGGGTGAGCGTTTATATTGTACGCCGGGTGAGCGTTTCGTATACGCCGGGTGAGCGTTTCGTATGTACGCCGGGTGAGCGTTTTATATACGCCTGGTGAGCGTTTTATATACGCCGGGTGAGCGTTTTATATACGCCGAGTGAGCGTTTTATATATACGCCGGGTGAGCGTTTCGTATACGCCGGGTGAGCGTTTTATATACGCCGAGTGAGCGTTTTATATATACGCCGGGTGAGCGTTTCGTATACGCCGGGTGAGCGTTTTATATACACCGGGTGAGCGTTTTATATATACGCCGGGTGAGCGTTTTTATATAGCGTTTTATATATACGCCGGGTGAGCGTTTTATATATACGCCGGGTGAGCGTTTCGTATACGCCGGGTGAGCGTTTCGTATGTACGCCGGGTGAGCGTTTTATATACGCCTGGTGAGCGTTTTATATACGCCGAGTGAGCGTTTTATATATACGCCGGGTGAGCGTTTCGTATACGCCGGGTGAGCGTTTTATATACACCGGGTGAGCGTTTTATATATACGCCGGGTGAGCGTTTTATATACGCCGGGTGAGCGTGTATATACGCCGAGTGAGCGTTTTATATGTACGCCGGGTGAGCGTTTTATATGTACGCCGGGTGAGCGTTTTATATGTACGCCGGGTGAGCGTTTTATATGTACGCCGGGTGAGCGTTTTATATACGCCGGGTGAGCGTTTCGTATACGCCGGGTGAGCGTTTCGTATACGCCGGGTGAGCGTTTCGTATACGCCGGGTGAGCGTTTTATATGTACGCCGGGTGAGCGTTTTATATGTACGCCGGGTGAGCGTTTCGTATACGCCGGGTGAGCGTTTCGTATGTACGCCGGGTGAGCGTTTTATATACGCCTGGTGAGCGTTTTATATACGCCGGGTGAGCGTTTTATATACGCCGAGTGAGCGTTTTATATATACGCCGGGTGAGCGTTTCGTATACGCCGGGTGAGCGTTTTATATACACCGGGTGAGCGTTTTATATATACGCCGGGTGAGCGTTTTATATGTACGCCGGGTGAGCGTGTATATACGCCGGTGAGCGTTTTATATACGCCGGGTGAGCGTGTATAATACGAACCTTTGGTATATAAAAGGTAGGCAGATGGTACGTTCGACATTCGAACCTTTTATATATAAAAGGTAGGCAGGTGTTACATACTTGTTATACTATCTTTCTTATGTTATTACTCACCGTAGATTTTAACAATTTGAAAAAAATTATTTACTATACAGACTAATAACTTAGAAAGCAAACCAACAGACTTTTACTCGACCGACACTCAATTAAGGAGTTATATAAAAAAACATTATGTTTTTTTAATATTTTTATTATTTATTATTATATTAATTTTTTTCTTTGCATATATAAAATTATTATATTATTATTATTAAATTACAATATATAAATAGTTATTTAGATGTGAAAATACAAAAGAAATACATAAATATGTATTATTTATATATATTTTAAATAAATATAAGAACACAAAAGAAATTTAGTTAAGTTTTATTAAGTTTTAAGTCGATCGCACAATTATTCGATTTTTAATTAATCAATTATAGTAAAATTTGCATGACTATTAGTTAGTCTATTATAATAATCGTGTTTATTGATTTAAATATCGGAGGAGTCTTGTTTCATATTCCAGAATAGCTTTCCGCTGAGTTGGCATTGGTTTTGTGCCTTTTTTAATGATATTCAATTTTCCGTTGATGAATTGTGAGGTAAATGGTAGTAATTGACTTTTGTCGTATTTGTATTCGTAGTTGTGGTATCTACCATAAGGGAATTTCACGTATATATCTTCGCCTTCAATTTTTGTAATTACACCAGCTAGATATGGCTCACCACCAGTTTTCGCATTAACCCCTTCTCCGACAACAAATAATTGTTTGTTGTTATCTTGACATTGCTCATAATGTAACATTATAGAACGTTTATATAAAAATTATTGTTTTTAATATGAAAATGTATATAATATATTTTTTTTTTTATTTATATTAATATAATAATGTGTGTGTATAATATTATTTCTCTCCCCGTTTGCTGAACAAATGCAATACATGTTCAAAGAGGTATTACCGACCCCCCCGCACCGCAGATCACTCCCCCGCCCTAAACCACCTTAAATAATGGTTTGCAATGAACAGACAAAACGCTAAAATGATCACAGCAACTAGATCTATACGATGATAAGTTTGAAATGTATGAAAGCTTTGGAGAAATTAGGTGCCAAAATAATTGTTTGGCCACCGGTGCCGGGGTAACTCACAGGGAATTATCTCGACACCGGTGGCCAAACAATTATTTTGGCACCTAATTTCTCCAAAGATTTCATACATTTCAAACTTATCATCGTATAGAGTTCGATGCTGTGATAATTTTGAAATTTTTTCTGCTCATTGCAAACCATTATTTAAGGTGGTTTAGGGCGGGGAAGTGATCTGCGGTGCAGGGGGACGGAATATTACGTAATCGGTACGACTCGCGCTAACGATATAATACGTATAATACGTAAATGCGCGACACCGAACACGTCAAAAAATATCTGTGAACCAACGAACGTTATTTGAATTTTTTCGCGTTTAATCTGTTTAAGATCGTTGTGAGTGTAAAAAAACAAAACTTAGAGGATATTTCGAAAGAAAAACGTAAGACCGTTACGCCGGGCATTCGGATTTCGGACAGCAACGCGAAATATATTGCACGTGCGATCACAGCAGAGGAATCTTTGTAAACACCTGAAGTACGATTTAAAACTTGAAAGGGGACCCGAAAAGGCTGGAAAACTGTAAAAAACGGATGAAATAATGAAAATAATAATGACAATATAATCATAATAAATTATTGATGGTCGTTGGCCGTGATAAGGAGGTAGGAACCACGGTTATAGATACTATGGTTGCACAGGAGCGTCTAAACACAGGAATGCACCTTATGCATATTGCGCATGCGCGTAATTTATTCGCCACTATCGTATATTCATATTGGGTTATCAATATATTATCTTATCACTATAATACAGAAAATTATAATAGGACTCAGTTTGAATTTGTTGTACAAGCGCACCGGCATTATATTTAAACTTTTCATGTGGTAAAGTTGATCATTTTTTTCATTCACTTTCCATTCTTCTGTAGCATTATAAAAATGATCAACCTTCGGTATTTGCTTCTTGTGAATAATATATGTTTGAAATATGAAAATTTGTATATATCAATGTATAAAAAACTTACTTAATTTCAAATTCAACGAGGTTTTCAAGTTGTATACTAACATAGGTACATAATAATTAAAGTGTTATTATTATTTACAGTTTGTCATTCCTCAATGCCAGTACTTCTCCTCAGCCAGTACTTCTCCTCAACCAGTACTTCTCCTCGTCAAATAATTACCTGCACAATTAACGTTACCATACAAGGATTAAGTTGTTTTAGGATTTGCTTGGAAGCTATAATAAGATTGGAGCTGAAACAGGTAATTCAAATATCTATATAACTAATAAAGTTTATTTGTTAAGTATTAAATATTATATTTTATTTTGGATAGTATAAATCCTTAAATTTTTGTATGTTTGAACATTTGGAATAATATTGTAGTTTGGACTCTGAGAATTTTGTATGTACTATTGGTGTCTGTGGAGGCCTGTAATGTATCGATTCTATTATTTGGTGGTTTTTGATAAATTCTAGGATTTCTTCTGTTGTATAAGTTGTTATATTTTTTTTTTTCGGCAAAACCTGCAGCACATTTTTTAAATTGTTTTTATAATGTTTTATTTCGTTGACATAATTTTCCTCTATATTTTCGGTTGTAATTTGTGTGAAATGTGTGGTTAATATGCTGTTGATGAAATGTTGTATGAATATAATTTTTTTTTGAAACCTATTGAATATATTATTTTTATTAATTTGATTTTGGATATTTATTTTTGGTTTTGGATTGAAAATGGATGGCAGCTGAAACAAATACACAATGAAGAAGATAATTTGAAGTTATGAATTATTGCTGGTATAAGAATAAAAGAAATAAAGTTACATCGTAGAATGCGGCTGTTGTGTAGTATGTATCTCGTGGTATTGCCAATATTTCATTGACATATTTATTGTGTATATTTTTATTAATTTCATTCCAGATATTATGTTCCATATTCAAATTGTAAATTTTGTGTGTATTATCAAATAAAATTATAAGATAATTTTTTATGACCAGTTCTTTTAATTTTTTTTTCAATGCCTTTTTGTCAATAAAATCAAATTTCAGTACACACATTAATATAGTGATGTGATCAAAAATATTTGACAACTGTAAAAAAAAATTAATTAAAAAATAAATTTTAAATAATTATATGTAATGAATTTTCAAAAACATTAATACATTTTAAGATAATGACTGTTGTACGCTTAGTGAATCACCCTGTATATAATTTAAGTGTTTAACATTAAAAAAAGAATAATACCGTCCGTTTTGTTTCCATATTTATTAGGCAGGCCAGAATTAATGTATCGTTCCAATTGTTGCTGGCCGGGATGGAAAATTGAACAACTTCTTCATCATTAATTATGATTGTATGTTTATTTGTCGATGAATGAATTCTATTTATTTTTAAATTCATATTTTACATTATTTATTTTAATTATTTAAGTGATGTTGGAATAGTCAATAAATATTTACCTTGTGGGTTCATATGATAGATCAGTCACATCTAGCCACCATGAATCCATTTCATCGACAAATTGACAAAACAATTTGTCCAGCGATAATATATTATTTAAACAAATGAATTTTTTGAAATTCATTATTTTTCGATTATTATCATCGATTATACCATGACTTAGATATTTAATTTTATTTATAAATTTTAGAAGAATGTGTAATTTAATTAATTTTTTTTTTTGTTTAAATGCAGTTTTAAAAAGTTTTTTTTCACAAATTTGGAAACTGTAAATAGAAATATTAAGATTAGTTATTAGTTATTATTAGTTATATTAATAAGTTTTGTTCACTATTTTACTTACTCATAAATAATTTGTTGTTTGTTTTTGTATAACATGGTGTTTGAAATTAAATAATCTATGGCTTGAATGCTGGTAATAAAATAGATATTTTGTATATTAAATTCTTTAGGAGCCGGAATCTTTTGTATTTTATTGAAGAATTTTTGAGGCATTGTATATTTAATATTATTTTGTGTCTGTATATTATAATTTATTTGTTTTGAAGTTATTAAAAATTGTGAATAATTGTTTACTGCTTGACTTTTGAATATTTCTATTGTTTTTTTTTTTATAGTTGCTAATTTTTTTCGCCCTAATTTTTTACTAAAATTTAATGATATATAATTAGATGTTAAGTTTTGTATATTTCCTTTTATGATATCTTCTTCACATTTTTGTGTTTTGATATATTCTACTATTTTGTTAATATCTGTATATCTTGAAAGCACCTGTATATAATTTTTGTAGTTTATTTTTTTAGTTTATTGTTTAGTTTTAAGTGTATGTATATAGGGAATTGTAAATATTTTATAATCTAAAAATTGTTACTTACATTGGTTTGGGCATTAACAACGAATTGAATTGCCCCAGAGTTATCAATTATGAAATCATTAAATATACTAATGTCTTTGGCTCTTGCTCCATAACTGTTAATATAATGTAATAGGGAGACGCTGTTCGTTGCGTCACTTTTACAATTTAATTGTGAGACAGCAGATCCAACAGTTATTACTAAGTCCTTTTCAAATAAAATGTATTTTATATAAATAAATGAATAATAATAATATAATGCATTGATTACCTCAGAATGGCGTACTCTCTTTTTAATATTTTTTTGAGACGTAATATTATGTTTATTGTTAATATGGTCCAACAAACTTCTTTCAAATATAAATTTGTCATCGCAAAATGGACATTGAATAAACAAAAAAACTAAACTCGGTATGGAATGTTCGTTATTTTTTTTGCTTTTACAATAAAGTCGAAAGCCACTCCAGTGCGCCGTTCGTTGTCTCTCATTAATACCTTGTGTTAATATCGTTTGTTTGATCCGACCTGACTTTTGGTCACCACCACACCACCGTTCACGTGGCACCACCTAATCCGCATCAAGTTGATGGCATGATAGTAGCACATATTAACAACATTTTATGTTTTAATAATTTCCTTTTAGTAATTATCATTTTAAATACTTTTTTTCTTCGCATTTCAGCTGTCAATCTTCTGCGTTTTAACTCAGCAAGAATTGAAACAATTAATTTTAATTTTGTCATGATTTATAACTATTGTAAATTTGTATTTTGTAACACAAAATGAATAAATATTAAATCATATTATCTAATATGAAAATTTTAATCAAATCAATTATCAAGTCGATGGTGACAATGCAAAAGGGCATAAGCGACACTTTTTACGAAATCTACTTTTTGTAATTAGGGCATAAGCGACGTCATTCTCTATCGATTGCTCTTACTCATTTATCGATACGATTATTTTTTACGATATAAGACGAAAATTTAGATTTAGACCTAAGCGCCAAAAAGAGTAAATTAATTAACAGGTGTGGTATCACCCGTATTGGATAATACGCGGTAAACCAACTTTATACCTTACCCTCGTACACTCTAGGCTAATGACTGTCTCTAGAATAAATTCAGATTAGCACTGTTAACCTTTGAGGTACGATGGTAGCGTTTTGTCAGTTCTTCGTCCGTTTCCTAAATTGGAATGACTATTAGGACGCCACAACCAGAGAACTGTTCAGTTTGTAATAAACCTCATTGACTATAGGTGTGTGGGTCTGAGCACTGTTCCAATATTAAAGGTAAGAACGAAGAAGACTTTGAAATAATACTCAACTCGGGTTTTAGGTCGGAAACACCTTTATTATATTAAAACAAACATAAATGAAACACTTAGCAAATTCAAA